CCTTACAAATCCAACCCAGGATCAGATCAGCAGCTTTTTTTACTGCTTGTGCATCTCCATTAGAGAGATTCTGCTGGTCTGATTCGGTCCTTAGTGTCAAGAGCTCAACAAATCTGGCTCTGCAATCAGACATCTTAATATGGGATCATGGGTGCAGTGCTAGAGCACTATAACTTATGGTTCCCAATTCTATGCAATTCCCCACTTCACAAGATTTCCTGTGTGACCTTAGGCCTCACGCTCCCCATGTGTAAAACGGGGATAACAGCACTGCTCTATCTCCCAGAAGTGTTGAGAGACTATGAAGGTTGTGAAGCGCTTTGAGATCTACTGATGAAAAGCGCTAGATGAGAAAGGCATTATCTGTGACTTGCCAAGATGTCATTTTAGAAACATGCTTCAGAAGAGAAACATTTTAAAAAACAGTTTTAAGTTGCATTTATAGGAAAACAGCTTTTCTATTGTTAACTTGAGGAAACTGCAGTCTAAGGTCAACAGTTTTAGCAGGAACTCTTGGCAAAGCTTTAGAAAAACAGATATAATGTTCATGACTTTGCCCAGAGTTTCTGTTTTGCATGCACCCTAGAAGTTCACATCACAAGCAGCATGTCTCCATCCATTTCTCCCCAAAAAGGGCATTTGATTTCAGTGGCTGAAGAGAAACCAAAACCTGTGCTAGAGTGCTGGTCAACATACCCCTGCTTCATGGAGAACAAATGCCTCATGTGAAATTTACATAATTGAAAATGGTAAATAGGCAACCATTTTCCTCCTAGCTCCCCAAACAGATCCTATGGTGTTAGTCATACGCTGGCATTAGTGTTTTATTTTTAAAGAAACATTAATCACTGCATTTGAATGCTCAGATCTGCACATGTTCTGGGCACTGAGCTATAGATTAGGCTTTCTGCAATTAAGGAATTTTTGGTTAGAAAATTTGGCCTGCTGTTGGCCATGGAAATAACCAAGCTTGACTTTAGACTCCACTGCCAGACACAGGAAGGAGCAGGCTTAAGACAAACATTGCTCTCAGACAGCAAGCTACCCAGAAAAACAAGCTACAGCTTGGTCACTTCACTCCAGCTCCTGAAATGCAGTCACCTCTGGTGTGGAGCACTGCAGCTGTTTATGGCACACAATGCTAATCAAAGGTAAGCACAATATAACTAAACAGGAAAGAATTTAGCTATGATGTCTGTTCACTTCCACTGAAAGGAATGGGTGATCTAGTCTAAAACGCCTTAAGGCATAGCTCTGCTCTTTAAAATGACTAAAGGCATCTTCTCTGGTTCCTGTGCGTATTAGAGTCAGATCTGCTAACTTTAACAATAGCACATTTGATCCCTGTTAGCCCCACAGAACCAAAAAGGCTTTAAAGGAGCATGCCACATTCTATTTTAGGCTCACCCATGAGCTGCAGTGTGACTGCAGTCACATCTGGGTAAGCTTACTGAAATCAGGTTAAATGAAGGCAGAACTTAATTTGGACAATCTATTCCTGATGAAAACAAGACTGAACCCAGCTTGACAACTGAATCCCAGCCTGAATTTGCAGGGCTGGCAGAAAGCCATCTTTATTTCCCAGTTGATTAAACAGGATCTAGAGTTCAGGGACAAACAAAGCCACACAATACCTTTTACAGAGTTGCTTCTCTGAGTAGAGCTGCACTTTGAATTTAACCAAAAAAAGCAGTGATTCAACTGTGAGTGGCTTAAGTCTCCCAAGCATTAATTCTGATCCTGATTAAACAATAAAGCATTGACAACGTTTGCTGAACTAGTCCTGAAGCAGGACAGAAACCAATTTGTGGTATTTGCAGAACAGAGTGCGTGACAAATATCAGCTTCCATCTCCAAATCCTAATATGGATAGATGTTCAGAAATCCTGACCATCTGGGATCCCAAATGAAGTCAGAGTCTGAACATCAGGCCTACAGTTTATATGGTGCAAGAAACGCTTCTAGTGATGTGAACTTTTAAGCAATATTCTTACATATTTCTACCCAACATTAAAGGCAGTTTCTGTAAATACACAAATATCATGATCATTTACAAGGTACAGTCAATGTATGAGAGTCAACAGATTACTTCCTTCTGACAAAAATCAGAACAGGTCAAGCTGGTAAGGGGAAGAGCTGCATTAGGTACACACTTGTTAGTCAAAAAAGTTATCCTAGGACATGAATCATTGAACTGGTTCACTATCACTTAAAAGGATACAAGAACAAAGACATTTTTTAAGCAGACTAAAATTTACAAGATTAACAAGTTCAGCAAAATTCAACAACCACCAATTTGCAACCCAAACATTGCAGCTTTAAGGGCAGAGAACCAGAAGTGAAATTGAATAGAAACAAAATATGAACTAGCTCCCTCCTTTGTGAGAAATAGAGGAAGTAACAAACTTTTTCCCCAGGACAGATTTCAAAACATCCTTTGGGTTTGAGCTGAAGTTAAACACAGGTAAAGGCATTTTTAGATGTTACGATTTCAGCCTTGTATTTTAAACTCCATCTCTTGGGAGCCTAGAGTGAAAAAGATGGAAAAGTTTTTAGTCCAGTTAGATTTGAATTGTGGTTCACCCCTTTGTAAGGGATCTAGTTATTTTCTCCCAGTGCTAACGAGAGCGCCTATGGGCAATAATAAGCCAAGGAGGACACAGGGAGCTGATTTTAAGCAGTGGGTCATACAACAGGGACTCTCTTCAGAGCAACCTATATTTATCCACTGCCACGATCTAGCCAGTCAGTATTGACGTAAAGAGCATCAAAACTACAATGGCTGTGCCATTTTAAGAGAAAGACAGCTGCGTGCTCCCGCCCCCAAAGACAAAGGAATCCTGCAGAGACTGGGTCAATTTCTGAATGCTATGGGTGATGGGATTTACTGAAGCAAGCATATCCAGAGGGGCTACAAGCAGCTATGGACATGGCACATAGAGAGCCTTGAGGGTCTGGATGGGATAGAAAGATACAGAGGACATATCACAAGCAAAGCACAGCTACTGATCTATTAGGATTTAAACCCCTCCACAAGTAGTGTTCCAGTACAGCTGAGAAGTTGATCCCATATGACTGGAGACCACAGGGAGAGTTGTTTTGTACTTACAGTTTAGAGATAGAAATCAGGATTTTATTCCAATGAAGACAGACATCTTCATATCCTATTAATATATATCAAAGGATTTTTAAGACTTGGTATTCTAATCCCTATCCCTGGGGAATGACTGAGGACTGCCAGTTACTGTAACATTACAAAAACAGCTGTTCATTAAATCATGATTAAAACCATCCCGATGGAGTAACTCTTCTGTAACACCTTCTAGCTGAGACTCTCAAAGCCCTCGAGTAACAAAGTAAGCCTCACAGCCTTTTCCCACTTCAGTCCCCAGCAGGGATGGGGAAAATGAGCCTGTGGCTTTTTCTTTATCTGCTCATGTCTCCATTTCAGTGCCAGCGGGTTAGAATCCAGGAGTCTAGACTCCCAGACACCCCCACCCCTTTTCCTAACTACCACACTCTCATCAAAAGACACACAACCCATGAGCCCCAAGAACAAATCCTCTGGGACTATCTACACTCTTTCCAAATCTAGGCACAGACCAGGAGTCCTGACTCCCAGCATTGTGCTCTAACAGGACAATCCTCCCCTTCCTATGGCAAGGAAATGAGGATTAGTTTGGATCTAGAAAACACAAGTACTCCCCTTCCCTTTGAAAGGAGGGACAAAGTAGTCACTGAAGTGACTTACAGAAGAGTTAAAACAAGAATAAATTCAGCCAGATCTTTACATTTAAAGATCTGGACCCCCCTATGTATTCAGAGACCTGCTAATTTCCTCAAAACTCAATTATTTTCCCTGGGGTCTAAATGCTAAACTGAGTTTCACCAAGAGGCCAAGCTACCTCAAATCAAAAGTGATCTTTACAATACGTTGTCCACATATGCTCTCAGCATAACTGAGGTGTCAAATGTGACAGAGAACCTGCCGGTGACTGTCAAGGTCACCAGGCTACAGCAAAGGGTTCAGCTTCTGGCACAGTATCTTTGTCCCTTTAGCATCTCAGTGTCTTACTTCTCCAACCCCCTCTCACATCTTCACCCACATGAGTGAGACGATGAGATTACAACTTCAGGAAGGTGAGGGAAGACAGACAGCAGGAGCAGATGACTTCTAGAACATAAATCCTATTAACAGAATTGTTAAACAGAAGCGGCACTCCTTTTTCAGTAAACATCAGGTGCTCTTAACGCCTGCCAAGATCTACTAAGGTACAGAAACTTCATGTATTGGGATTTTTTTTTTTAGAAGTGTGGTATTAAAATACTTTTAAAAGCCATCTTTAGCCAGACCCCTATTGATCTATCTTTAAAAGATCACTGTCTGTATAGAATAAACTCAGCTAGTTTGGCAATCATTTAGGCTTCTGGCAAGAGAAAGTTTTATCAGGCCTATTATCTGACTGACAGTCCCCACTGTGTGTTCACCCCACGTTTAGCCTCACTTTGTTGATTTTTAACCCCATCTTCAAATCTCCCAAATTGAGGATCTCATTTTCTTCTAGAATGAAGTCTACAGATGCTTTTAAGAAAAAGCTTTTACAGACACAGATCCCAGTTTCAAAAGTTTGCCTGACAAATCTCAGCTTATCAAGCGTGTGGTTTATTTAAATGTCTGAATGGATTTCCTAGAGTTTGCTTTAAAATAAAAAAGAAAAGCTTTCCTCTAGTTGAATGTTTTTCTCAAAAAAATTAAATAGATTTTCTATTCCTATTAAGAGGCTGCAAGAGCCATTGCTGCTTTCATCAATCTTTCTGGCTGGATCTTTTGTTATTTTCCTTATTTAGCGTATTTCACCTCCATTAATCTTCTGTGTGCTTTGAAATTTAGAAGTGCACACAACTGCAACACAGCAAATGGTCCCAGTCTTAAGCGGACCCACCTGTCAGCACAATCTCTACAAGGCCTTTGCTAAGTTTGTTGCTTACATACAACTTACCTCATCCTACCTGCACTATACATGCAGCGACTAAGGCCCAATCCCAAGAGAGAAACTCAGCACCCAGAACTCTTAATGACTTCAATGGGATAGCAGCTCAATGCTTCAGGATTAGGCCATTACAGGCTGTATACCGTTCAGTCCTCATGAGACTAAAATGCTGAATTGCTTTACATTGCATGAAATGCTACCACTGGACACTGCAGCAAGTATTTAACCTGCTGGGTTTGAAAAATCTGCCTTGTGAAGTCCCATTTCATGTTGGAAACAGTCCAGAAAAAAAATCCAGCAGTTAAAAAAAAAGATCTCAGTCACAAAAGCAGCTTCTCCTTCGTTACAAGCTATCTGACGTTCATGCAGATCCAATGGGTTGGCTCTGGTAACAGAAACCAGATCTCTCTAATGCAAAGTCTCAAAAAATTAAATTTGTAGTTGTCTTAACAGATTGGCAAGCTCTTAAATCAAGACTCAAAATATCCTTACAGCCTCTGCATGCATCAGTCGATGTCACTGCGCGGAGTTGACAATGGAAGAATAATCAAAAAGAAATAAGCAAAGTGGTCTGGAACAGAAATGAAGGTTGTGAAATGTAATTAATACCAGAAAGGTTTGCTTACCCGTGAATTGTGGCTGTTCCCCTCCCTTTGATGAGGGCTTCCCTTTTTTTCCTAATGATCACTTCTTTTCCTAGTACATTGTACAGGAACTATGGCACTGTGGAATGTGGCAAATTAATTGAATACAAGACTTTTTACCTTTCCCCTGCCCAACAAGACACTTGGGGTGTGTGTGGCTGGAGAAAATGCACGCACCCCTCCCACCTCCAGAATATCCTTGACAACAGATTTGTGGGTTATGTACAGCACCTTTGGAGTCCAGTGATAGCATTTCACATCTGTTATAACAAATCAGATTACATTAACTGATCAAGAGGAATGCTCCCCCACTTCCCTTCGGAAAGTCTAAAAAAAGGTACCAGTGAAATCCCAAAGTAGAAGGGAGACAAAGCAGACCATCTGCTTTACTGAGCATGGAAGCTGGATAGAAACCAATGTAAGTTATGAATACAGCCAGATAAGACAGACAAGTAAGAGAGCGGAGGTCCAAACTCATGGGTTATGTTGAAACCTATAAAAAGAAAGAAACCTGGTGGACTTAGGATCATACTTTGTACTCAATATATTAACTTGTACCTAGAGAATTCCTGTAGATGAAACAGCCAGGAGCGGAATTTGGTTAGAACAGTTTAGAAAGAGGAAAGGGGGGGACACGCTGGGTGCATTCCCCTCCTCCTTCCCCCCACCCGCATCTCATTCCCTCCATCCCCTGCCTCCAAACGCAAGTCAGTCAGTGGGAGGAGTTTGCTCAGAGCTGGTTACATCACCTCCCTGCCCATGGGTTCTCGCTTTTGTATAGGAAGAGACAAAATGAGGCAGACGCCATTTTAGAAGCACAAGGGAGAGGGGAAGGAAAAAAAACACAAACAAAAAGGCTTCAGTATCTATTAAGAGGGAATTCATAACACAATAAAGCCCCCACCATAGATATATATACACACACACCCCCCTTTGTATCCTATAATCTCAATCCTACAAAGCTACACCTATTAAAAATACAAGGGGAGGAATCCAATTCTTATTAGCGTGAGCCGAAGATTCACTACAGAATCTCCCCATCACAATGGGGGGGGGGCTAATTTGTCCCCGTCCGAAGTATGGGAGGGGCAAAAAAGAAAAGGGGGGGGTAAAAAATGGGATCAACCTGAAAAGGAAAAAAAAAAAGCTGCTTGCCAGAAACAAAGACAAGGAGACAGAACAGCTTTGCCATCTTTGAATAGGGAAGGGAAAATAGAAAGCGAGAATCACATTTTTAAAAGCACATTATATTTCGTTATAACTGGAGTCTAAATGTTATCAAATTTCATTCTGATCTTTTAAGATACAAGTTACTGAATTTTAACAAATTTTGTAAGTCTTTTTTAAAAAAAAAATCTCTTGCAATCTTTATTTTTAGATTGCCACCCAATTCTTAAAATTGCCCCTTTTCCCCAGCTACTACATATATATGCAAATACATTATTAAAGTGGTATTCCGGGTTTTAAAAAAATAAAAATCACACAAAAAACCTAACAATTACATTGAATTTAAAAATATAGAAATGGATTTGACATATCACTGTAAGGTTAACTATTTTTTAAACCAACCCATCATTGGCTAATGCCATAGATTCTTTCTTGCGCCCCTCACCACTTACAGCCTTACCCTGCAATCTTTATGTACAGATTGCTCATTTTCCTCGTCTCCCACACAAAGAAGCGATACTTTATGGCTCAGTCACCGCCATCTTTTGTGTGGGAGCTCATTAACCCTTCATATTCGTGGAGACGATGGATTTGTATAAGAGACCGTCGTACTCCTTATAAATATGCATTCATATTTTGCAAAATGCCTGACTTTTAAGGGTTAACCATTTTGAAACAAAGCCTAGTTTCCTCTCAATTATATACACATTTTTGGTTTCTTCCTGGCGTTAATTCTTTTTGGTACAGAGGAGGAATTTTTTTTTTTGGTCAGTTGGTTGAAAATTCGACACTTACTATCCAATAATTTTTCTCGTCGACAGCGCTTCAAGGTTTGTTATTTTTTGTTTGATTAAAGTGGTGTATTTTAAGGAAAAAAAATAATTGATTTGTTTTTGGTCATGGCTTTAAAAAAATACAGCAACTTTTTGGGGATTTTTGGTGGTTTGTCGAGATAAAGAGATGCAAAAAGTTGCTTGATTTAAAAAAAGGATCAGGACAGGTTGTTGCTAATTATTTTTTGTTTGGTCTTTTGGTATGTTTAAGTGGCAGTTTCCTTCAGGTCACAAAGAATTTGAACGGCTTCCCAAGGACGGTCGAAAATATGGTGGCTGCTTTTTTATGTCTTCCAAGGACCAAGTGGGGGGGGATTTTTCTCTTTCTCGTAGCAAATTCGACGCCAGTCTCAAGACCAAACCAACCTGGAGTAGAAAAGAAGGGAAAAAACACCACAATGAGCATTTTTAGATACAAAAGGCACCCCTCCCCCCAAAATTTTTACCACAAAACCACAAAATTTGGCATAAACGTATTTTTCAGGGTTTTTTTTTAAATCGCTGGGACCTGGGCTGTTGTAAATTTTTGCAAATCGGGGGGGGGGTGTCTGACAATGAAAATAGGGATTTTAGGGGAACCACCCTTCGGGGGGAGGCTTGGAATTTCATGGTTCAGATGAAACCCAGTTTCAATCAAAAGCCCCAGTTCCCTGCCTCAGACCCAGGAGGTTAATTAGCAGAAATGATCAATCACCAAGGTCATTCAAAAGGGCTAAGAGCAGCTCCCACCACCCCCCCCCCTCCCCGCGCGCCCCCACCCCGTACCCCAGCCTGGCGCTCTTAAGAGCTAAGTACTCACCTCTAACCAGACCCCAGAATGGCCGAACACCGCACGGGTGGCGCCTTTTATAGTCGGCCCCACCCCCCTACAGCCCCACCCCCCTACAGCTCGCGCTGCGGCGCGAGAACAAAGGCTTCCGTCCTCTGCAGTCCCCCTCCTTCCTCTTACCCAACAGCCGGCTCCTCGAGAACCGATTTAAAACCGCTAGCGAAACACAGCGCTAGGGTCCCCTCTCGATGGGCGAGAGGGATCCGAGCTCGAAAATCAATTTTAAAATCGACGACGGCTGTGACGCAGTTAGGAAGGGGCCCCAGCGCGCGTGCGCGAAGGGGAAAGGCGGGTGACTGGGCTCGGCCGGCGGGCAACACCCTTGCGGAGGTGTCACGAGACTCTCGATACCGCGCATGCGCGGGGGTGGGGCCGGCTGAGTCTCCTGAGCTGTCGTCCTACAGGTTGTACGCATGCGCGGCCAACGCCCAGTATTGTCTTGATCTTGTGGCGCAGTTTTTATTCCACTCCTATCTGTGCGCAGGCGCACCAACAAAATGTGTGAGCGCATGCGCAATGATCATCTTGCCCTTTGGTCACGTGCAAGAAGATGGCTGCTATCAAGGCCGTTTTGATTTGTTAGTCACCACGCATGCGCACAGATCACCGTAGCGCACGATGGCGGCTACCATGTTACTGCGGCGGGTCGCGAGTAGCCTGCCTGGGCTGGCTCTGCTCCCGAGGCTCTTCTGGGCTCAGGTGAGGAGCGGGGATAAGGGGGCCGGCCGGGGTCATGTGCTGTGATGTCATTGCATGTATCACTTTGTTGGGGTGGCGTCATTCTGCTATACCGGAAATGTCCTCAGTGATGTCATTGTGCCATGGTGGACGAAGTGTGATGTCAGAGTTGCCCTGCACCAAAATCACTTGCTATGATGTCATCATGCCATGAGGGGGCACCGTGGCATCATGATTGTCATGCCATGAGGTTATCACAGCCTAGGGGTAGGGGGAGTGTGACATAATGCCTGCCGTGCTGTGAGGTCATCACTCCACAGGGTGGCAGCATGACATGACTGCTGTGCTATGAGGTCATCATGCCAGGAGCAAGGCAGCGTGACATCATGGGTTATCTTGCCACGAGGTGGCAGCGTGATGATATGGCTGCTGTGCCGTGAGGTCATCATGCTAAGGCGTGGCAATATGATATCATGGGTGTCATGCTGTTATGGTGCTGTGTGGCATTGGGCAACATGATGTGACGTGGCATTGTCCTGTTGTGACTCCACAAGGGTGGGTCAGGCCGCCCGTGTGAGACGAGGTGACATTATTGCTGTTCCCAAAGTCCCCCTGCCATGACATCGCCCTGCAGTGCTGTGGTTATGCACTTCAGCATAACACAACACAGTTATCCAGGGCCGAGCCAGACTGTCAACTTGATTGCTGGGCAACGCCAGATCAGGATTGCAGCGGGATATGATGTTCCCCTGGCATGGTGTTGTTCCATTGCGCGGTATCGCTGTGTCACATGGGATCTCAGCGCCCTGTTGTTGTGGGATCCTGCAGGCTATCTTGCCTTTGAGGCATGAGCCCACTGGGCCACCCACCTTAGACACAGTTTCCTGCTGCTGTTTCCATGCAGTGTCCAGCAACTCTGGACAGGGCAGATGCAGACAGCAGATCCATTTGTCCTTACTCGGTGTTTTTGTTTTGTTTTTCTTTCTTAAAACTAGCTGGGAAATTAAATGCAAAAAATATTGTTAAAGTTGCTTGCTGAAAAGATCATGCTAGCATTTTCCAATCCCAAGGATAAAATCTTTCATATTCACTAGCCCTGCTGTTTTATCACAGAGTGGCATTGGGCTCTGCTGAAATGCAGCCTCCTTTGGGTGAAGCACAGTAGTTAACCACTGCAGAGTGGAGGGAAGAATTCAGCCAAGAGCACTGGGACAAATCGTTGTGCCTGCAAAGCCCAGTCGGTGCAATTTTCAGTGATGGGTGAGTGATTCTCCCCTCCGCTATGCAGTGTTGCTGTGTGGCTATTCCCCAACTGCCCCACCCCAGAGGTGGCCACATTTCTGTGATGGGTGAGTTAACCCCCTCTGCCCCCGTGCCATGTTGCTGTGTTGCTGTTCCCTAGCTGTCCCACACCAGAGGTGGCTGCATTTCATTGATCCTTATTTAATATCCTAGATGCAGTAGGGACAGCTGCTCTTTGAGGTGGTCTGATCCTTTCTCTCCTTTCCTGACTCGGCCTTTCTTAGGCTGCTCCTGCTGCTTCGCTCCTACGGCTCCAGCACCCCCTGCTCCGGGTGTTTAGCACAGAGATGGACCCAACCACGTCAGCAGAGCCAGTCACCTTTGACACTGAATCACGCTTTAAGGAGAAACCCTGGGAGTATCTAGAGACAGAAGGTATCCAGCCAGGAGCTGCGGAGGGGTTGGTGCTGGGCTTTGGACCTGCTGCTTCACAGGCTGGCAGCACCAAGGGTAACCTTGTAAGGGGCTCAGGATTCCTGGAAGTGGTCTAAGAGTTAGAGTGGGGTGGGAAGCAGACCTGGGATCCAGGATTCTTGGGTTCTATCCTGTGCCCTGGGAGGGGAGGAGAGTCTAGTGGTTTAGAGCAGGGGGCTGGGAGTTCGGACACCTGGGTTTCCATCTCTGGACCCAGACTCTCAGTATCATCATTGGCCATCCTCCTCCCACTGTGACTCAGTTTCCCCATCTTCCCCATGATGCAACAGAGGCAGCACTCCCTCATGTTCTCTAGGATCCTTGGTGTGAACCCCACTTGGGAATGGCTAACTCTCCCCCCCCCCTTGCAGAGTACATCGAGAGATACGGCGACAAGCCCATCTGGTTCGGCTATCGGCGTAACCACAAGGGACCCATCCCCCCACAGAAGACCCGCAAGACCTGCATAGTGAGTGCAGCCCCACACCTTCCCTTGCCCCTCAGCTTGGGCAGGGCTTGGGGCCAATGACTGGCACACCTGTCGGCTGCCCAGGCTCCAGGAGACACATGGGGGAGCCAGTGGACACCCAGACTCCACCCTATGGCATGAGCTGTCCTCATCAAGGCTGGTCGGAGAGATGCCAGCAAAGAAAGAGGTCCTGAGTCTAGTGGTTAGAGCAGGGGGCTGGGAGCCAGGACTACTGGTGCTGGGAGGGAAGTAGGGTCTCTAGTGGCTAGAGCAGGGTGCGGGGGCGTATAGAAGTGGGAGCAGAGTGAAAAGCAGATCAGAAAGGTGCGGTTTGATGAGAGGGCGGGAAGGTAAATTGGCAGGTGACACCAAACAAGGAGGAGTTTGAAGGTCAGCAGGACCCAGAGAACTTAATCCTTTAGCAGCTGGTCCACAGGGGTCGGAATCGTCTCCAGCGAGTGTTGGAAAGGGACCAGGATGGGGGAGGCTGGAGAAGAGTCTAGTAGGATTTGAGGGCACAGTTGGCGAGGATACCCAGCCACTGGAGTGGGGCTGCTGTGCCCACCTCTGCTGGGTGACCATAGGCAAGTCGCTGTCCTTTTCTGCCTCAGTTTCCCCATGTGTAAAATGGGGTTAAAGACAGCAAAGTGCTTCGCGATCTCCAGATGTAAAGCCCTCGGGAAGAGTTTGGGATTATTATAATAGCAGGGGACAGATGCTTCAGGGCATGAGGAAGGACAGGAAGGCCATTCTGTGGAGGCAGGCTATTCCATAACTGACCACTAGGGGTTGCTTGCACCTTTTCCTTTGGCTAACCACTGCCAGAGAAAGGATACCGGGCTAGATGGGCCCATGGGTCTGGCCCACCATGAGTGTTGCTTTGTGGTATATGGGGACCACCGCTGGCTGGGATGTGAGCAGGGTGGAGAGGCGGCTCAGCTCTGACAGTCTCGTTTGGTTCCCCAGAGAGGAAAGAAGATTGTGGGGAACCCCTGCCCCATCTGCCGAGACCAAAAACTCCACGTGGACTACAGGGTAAGGGGCCGAGTCCGACTCAGGTCCTTCCAGCCCCTCCCCACCCCCAGGCAGGGCCTGTGACCCCCATCCCTCGACCTGGGGAGAAAACATGCGTTGTCTGAGTTCCTTGGGCACAGCTCTATGATCCTCCACCCCTGCTCTGTAACCCTCTTCCTAAGACCTGCCCTGTCTGTATGATACCCTCCCCTTTGCCCCTGCCCTGGCTGTATGATCCCCACTTCTTTCCTCAGGCTGGCCCTTCCTGTATGGTCCCTTCCTTCCCCGGCTCTTTGGGAAACCTGGTGTCCCCCAGCAGCCCGGTGTCCTCTCTACGGCGCCAGCCTCTTTCCGCCTGGCCCTGCGCCTGCTGCTCACAGCTCCACTTCTGCCTCTCTCCCCCCCGCAGAATGTGAAGCTCCTAGAGCAGTTCATCTGCTCCCACACCGGCATCACCTTCCATCCCACACGCACAGGTACATTGTTCCTCCTCTGCCCAGGGGGGCTTGGAGTCCGCCACAGGGAACCACTTTCCCAGTCAGACCAAAGGGGTGGACGGGGAGCCATCTGCCTGGTTCAGGGCGGGACCCAAGAGAGAGGAAGCAGGGGCAGCGTGAGGGCTGGGGTAGTGCAGAAGTGGAGGAGAATAGCCCAAGAGGCCAGGGGATAGTCTGTGTGTGGGGGGTACCAAGAGGTGGGTGGGATGGGGATCCTTGAGGGCAGGGGGAGAGAAGGATGAAACTGACAAAGGAGGTGACATTTCCCATCTGGTCCCATCCCTCCATGGGGAAGCATTGCCCACTACAGCCTGTTCCCCAGGGAGATGGAGATGCCCCATCCAGCCCAGCCCCATCTGAGGAACCCTCTTTGTCCCTTGGGGCCCTGTCTGTCCCTTTTAGAAATGGAAAAGGAGCCTCTGGATCAATTTGCCCCAGAATTGGCTCCCCAAACCCCATGGTCTCTTTGTTCTCTGAGACACGCTACCCTCTCCTTCCGCTGCAGGCGTCTGCATGAAGCAGCATAAACGCTTGACCCAGGCAATCGACCAAGCTCGTGACCATGGTGAGTAGAGAGCTGGATATGACCAAGTGGGAATAGCAGGGGGCTGCGGGTTAGAATTGAGGGGCACCTGCAGCACTGGCGGGGAGCCCAGGGCTGTGTGTGGGGAGCGGGGCTGTGGATGGGGATTGACCCGTCTTGCTTACCAGCTGCTTTTCCTCCCCCCAAGGGCTCCTGAGCTTCCGCATCCCCTTGGTGACGCTGCAGGGTGAGGACTACACTAACCAGCACCAGGCAGTGGCCAAGACGCCCCCCGCCCTCTCCCTGCAGAGCCAGACACCCTGGTACCCCTGGTATGAGTGGCAGCAGCCGCCCGAAAAGGACATTGCCAGGATCCGCAGGATCTACAAGGACTATCTGAAGGAGGAGACCGGCCTGGCATGAGGGCCCAGGGAAGGACTGGAGGGAGTGTCCTGGGGCGTGAGGAATGGGCCACTTCTGGGGAAGCTAGGGCCTTCGGCCTCACCTGACAAGCTGGCCCTAGTCCCAACCCCTCCAGGGATAGCGCTGGAGCTGCCCAGCTCCCGGCCATGACTTGTCCAAGCCTTCAGTGGAGAATAAACTGGAAGCTGTCGGCAGTGACTCGCTGTGTTTATTCACCCTGTGCTGGAATGGGATATGGGGTCTTTCTCATTTAGTGGGCACAAGCTCCCATCCACCCCCAGAGCAGAGGAACTGGTTGGCTATGGGAGTGGGGAATGGACCATGAGGCCTTTTCCCCCTTAGGGGATGTCAGCTCTGATCCACCCCTAGGGCAGATGAATTGGCTGGCTATGCAGGTGGGGAATGGGACACTGGGCCTTTCACCTCTAGGGGGTGCCAGCTCCAATCTGGCCCCAGCTTAAACGTATTTTCACACATCTCTGGGATGTATGGTCAGGCTCTTCCAGGAGAGCCAGCTGGGGCCCATGCCTGCCGGGGCCTCTCTGATCATGTGCTCTCACCATCTCTTCCCCAGATGCCCCGTGGTAGCAGCAGGAAGTTGGAACAGGTCTGGCAGATGAAGGTCCTGTGTGGGGAAGGGAAGCAGAGCAGTGTCAGGCCCCATAGCGGAAACCTCAGCTCAGCTGATGGCATAGCACATAGCATGTCTACTCCCTGACCGACCTACCATGCAGCCCACCAAGTCCCAGGCGCACACCAGAACAACCACACTTGGACAATTGCAGACATGCAACTCACTCACAATGGACCCACTCGATCAGACGCACAACACACCTGCCTGCCTGTTCACAGACATGTAGCCTGCCTCCAGGGCACCTATCCACAGTTGCCTCAACTGAGATCAGGGCCCCGTTGTGCCAGGCGCTGTTGCTGCCTGAAAAGCTCTTGCAGGCTGAACAGAAGAGGTAGAGGAAGGCTCATCCCCATTTTACAGATAGGGAACCTGAGGCTTCTAAAGGTACAAGGGCTTGCCCAGGGAGTCTGTCAGAGTTGGGAATTGAACCCCAATCTCGAGTCCCCAGCCTGCAGCTCCCCTCTGCTGTCATAGTGCTGCCTGTCCTAACCCCCTCAGTGAGCTAGGGAACCCCTTCTATCAGGGTTCTCCCTTTCCATGCCAGATGCTCCCATAAATCCTAGGCAGCTGGGATCCCAGATACCACAGTGATGGCCATAGTATAAAATAGGAGATGGGTCAGAAAAGTCTTTTGGGGGGGTGGCCTATAGAGACTCCCATTCTGTGGTACTGAGCTCCCTCTTGCAGCCTGATCTGGGGGGTATGCTCTCTTTAGGGATGGGGACGGTGGTGTTGCCATGATATTCCCCCTGCCCTGGCCACTGCAGCCTATCCTGAAGTGGGGGAATCTATCTGTGGGTGGGAGGGGAGGTCCCCACAATTGCCTCTTCCCCTTCCCCAACCACCGTGGTTGACAGGAGGTGCCCTCTTCTTTAATTGTGAGGGGTGGAATGGCTGGCCCTTTACAATACTCCTCCCTCATCCTGGTGACCAGCCCGGAGGTGGGGGTGTCCCCCAGGATTGGATGGGTCACCTCTATAATACACCCTTGGATGAAACAGACCAGGGTTGGGAGTGGAAGGTCTGTTACTGAGGGACCAGTGTTATTATGGGGGAGACAGACTGAGGGGGCCCTTCCACTGGGAGATCCAGACTAAGAGTGTCTCATCATTTGAGGGGATGTCAGACTGTTATAAGTGGCTCTCCAATATTGGGGGACTAGACTGTAAGGGGGTTCTTACGGGGGGTGGCAGGTTGGGGGAGGTGCTTATGGTAGCGGATAGTCCTTGGGGTTCCCTGTGATGGGAGAGCCATTGTTTTGGGGGTCTTGTATAATGGTGGGACCAGATTGGGGGGGGGGGGTTCCTATGGAGTGAGGGGGAAGGCAGAATGAGGTGGGCAGTCCAGGGGGTCCCTATCGTAGGTTAGGCAGCTTCAGGGAGCAGAAGGACTTGTTTATTGGGAGGATCCCTATGATGGAGACCAGATTAGGGTGTCCTGTCCATTGGAGGAGGCAGAGGTAGTTCCTTATCTGAGCCAGATTAAATGGGTCCTCATTAGAAGGGTGAGCCTTTGGAGTTGGGGGAGTCCCCTAAATTGCTGATCATAAATTGGTGGGCCCCTCTATTTGGAGGGCAGCCTATGGGAAGCCCCCTTTAATGGGAGGCAGATTAGGTGGATCCCGTAGTTTGAGGGTGATGAGGCTTTGGGTGCTCCCGGATATTGGGCGGACTTGGATTTGGGGGACAGCTATTGGGATCTTATGATGCCCTGGGGCAAAAATGATGAGCACCCCTTACCCATCAGGGTCTGGGGCAGGGGTGATGGGCACTTATTACTCATCATGCTCTGGGACAAGGATCAGAAATTACCCGTCGTGCCTTCGGGCAGGAGTGAGAGGCGCCCATGGCCCTTTTTTGGGGGAGGGAGCAGAGTGAGAGAGGGGGCGGAGCAAGCTCAAGCCCGTGGTTGCTAGGGAGGCCCGGTTGCTAGGGGCGGGACCAGGCGTGGGACGCTTGCCACGGAAGCGGGGCGTCGCTAGGGGGCGGTGCGCGCGTTGCTAGACGGGCGCCGCGCGCCGGAGGACGGGGCGGGGGGCGAGCAGCAGGACCCGGATGCCGGCGGGCGATGGAGTTCCCTTTCGATGTGGACGCGCTGCTTGGGGAGCGGGTCACGGCGGTGGACCAGCACCTCCAGCCGCCGGGCCGCCGGGGGCCCGGCTACACCGCGGCCCACAGGTAACCATGGCAACGACCTGGCACCCCGCCCGGCGCGGGGCCGCTCAGGGGTCATGGCAGCCGGCACGGGGGGGGCCCTAGGGCACGATGGGTAACGGGTGCCCATCACCCCTGCCCCAGGGCACCTTGGGTAAGGGGAGGGCCCTGCCCCGGGGGACCCTGCCCCAGGGCACCACGGGTAACGGGTGCCCATCACCCCTGCCCCAGGGCACGATGGGTAAGGGTGGGACCCTGCCCCAGAGCACCTTGGGTAACGGGTGCCCATTACCCCTGCCCCAGAGCACCTTGGGTAATGGGTGCCCATCACCCCTGCCCCAGGGCACGATGGGTAAGGGTGGGCCCCTGCCCCAGAGCACCTTGGGTAATGGGTGCCCATCACCCCTGCCCCAGGGCACGATGGGTAACAGGAGGTGTCTCCTGCCTCAGGACATGATAGGTACCGGGAGGATCCCATAGGTAATGGGTGCCCATCACCCCGCCCCAGGGTATGAGAGGTGCTCCTTCCCCAGTGTGTGGTGGGAAGGGGATGCCTGTCACCACTGCCCCAAAACTGCAGCCAGGACGTGGTGGTGTCACTTATCCCGACTAATGGCACTGGAGTAGGGGTGTAGATGGGGGCCCTGCACCAGGTAGCAGGTGAGGGTTTGCCATAGCGCTCTCCCCATGCACAGTTGGGGTCAGTCCTTAGCTTCCCCCTGGTCAGCCTGTGTCCAGGCTTTGCCAGGCTGGCTTTCGCTGGATTTAGAGCACCCCAGAGTGTCCAACTGAGGGCGGCACCAGGGTGGAGTTGTTTTGGAGAGCCTGGGTCCGTTAGGATCATTGGCATTTCCCCCCCATTTGGTTCCTCTGGAGCCTTCCACAATGGTGTTTTGGGGATATAGGAGGCAAAGACTCCAGGGATGATGGGTAATAGCTATTCTCTGCCCTGGGGTGTGATGGGTAATAGCTATCCCTCATTGTTGCCCCCAGATATGATGGGTATTAGGCACCCTTGTCCTGGGGAATGATGGGTAATAGCTGTTCATGTGATTGGACTTTGGTGCAGCTGGATAAAAGGGGCATGCTGGGTAAATTGCACCACCTGTGCTGGGTATAATCTGCCACCCCTTGCCTGTGGAGCATGCTGGGTAATTGCCACCACTTTGTCAGGAAGTCACTTCTTTAAATGGCCTCTGGAGTGTTTTGCTGACTTTTGAACTATGGGGCGGAGGTAGAGGAAGGGCCAGAACCCCACATATTGTAAACTACAACCCACAGTTCCACTAGTGAGCCATGGGCCTTGCATCTCCAGGTGGCCACGTATCTGCACAGCTGTCATAAATATAAAGGGAAGGGTAAACCCCTTTGAAATCCCTCCTGGCCAGGGGAAAGCTCCTCTCACCTGTAAAGGGTTAAGAAGCTAAAGGTAACCTCGCTGGCACCTGATGAAAATGACCAATGAGGAGACAAGATACTTTCAAAAGCTGGGAGGAGGGAGAGAAACAAAGGGTCTGTGTGTCTGTCTATATGCTGGTTTCTGCAGGGGATAGACCAGGAATGGAGTCTTAGAACTTTTAGTAAGTAATCTAGCTAGGTATGTGTTAGATTATGATTTCTTTAAATGGCTGAGAAAAGAATTGTGCAGAATAGAATAACTATTTCTGTCTGTGTATCTTTTTTGTAACTTAAGGTTTTGCCTAGAGGGGTTCTCTATGTTTTTGAATTTAATTACCCTGTAAGATATCTACCATCCTGATTTTACAGGGGGGATTTCTTTATTTCTATTTACTTCTATTTTTATTAAAAGTCTTCTTGTAAGAAAACTGAATGCTTTTTCATTGTTCTCAGATCCAAGGGTTTGGGTCTGTGGTCACCTATGTAAATTGGTGAGGCTTTTTATCCAACATTTCCCAGGAAAGGTGGGGGTGCAAGTGTTGGGAGGATTGTTCATTGTTCTTAAGATCCAAGGGTCTGGGTCTGTAGTCACCTAGGCAAATTGGTGAGGCTTTTTACCAAACCTTGTCCAGGAAGTGGGGTGCAAGGTTTTGGGAAGTATTTTGGGGGGAAAGACGCGTCCAAACAGCTCTTCCCCAGTAACCAGTATTAGTTTGGTGGTGGTAGCGGCCAGTCCAAGGACAACGGGTGGAATATTTTGTACCTTGGGGAAGTTTTGACCTAAGCTGGTAAAGATAAGCTTAGGAGGTTTTTCATGCAGGTCCCCACATCTGTACCCTAGAGTTCAGAGTGGGGGAGGAACCTTGACAATGGCCTCTGGAGTGTTTTGCTGACTTTTGAACTATGGGGCGGAGGTAGAGGAAGGGCCAGAACCCCACATATTGTAAACTACAACCCACAGTTCCACTAGTGAGCCATGGGCCTTGCATCTCCAGGTGGCCACGTATCTGCCATGTATCTGTGCCACAGTGTCCCTGGAGTGATGTAACCCTGGCTATGGAAGAGTGTGGTCCCTCCCAGTGAAGGACTGAGAAACATAGGCTGGGGATTGGGGTGTGTGGGGCACTCCTGGGTTCCATTCCCAGCTCAAGAAGGGGAGTGGGCTCTAGTGGGTTAGAGTGAGGGGAGGGGGGGCTGGGAGTCAGGACTCCTGGGTTCTATCTCCAGCTCAGGGTGGGTTGGGGGCGGAGTGGGGTCTAGTGGTTAGAGCAGGGGGGACTGGCGATCAGGACTGCTGGGTTCTATCCCTGGCTCTGGGTGGGGAGTGAAGTCTAGTGGTTAGAGCGGGGGGGCTGGAGGTCAGGATTCCTGGGTTCTGTCCCTGACTCTGGGAGGGGAGTGGGTCTAGTGGGCTAGAACTAGGGTGACCAGATGTCCCGATTTTATAGGGACAGTCACAATTTTGGGGTCTTTTTCTTATATAGGCTCCTATTACCCCCCACCTCCTGTCCCTATTTTTCACACTTGCTGTCTGGTCACCTTAGCTAGAACAGATCTTGGTGTTTAGTTGTAAACGGCGGGGGAAGGAGTAACAGAATTCAGCAGAAGGCAAAACTCCGTTGGATTCCATCAACTCCAGCCCCAGACGGGCTGAGCAGCATTGATCCCTACATTCTATTTCTCCAGGCCTTTGTCCAGACCGAGGTCAAAATCTCTTCAGTGCTCACACTCTGCCCTCCTCCCTTGGAGAGACACTTGCATAGGCTCAAAGATCTGCCCAGCGCTAGGGGATGGGCCCTGACACCCAGTTGGAGAGGCCCTCCCCATCCCTCTTAGCTCCCCCCTCCATCCTGTAAAGAATCCTCCTCCCTTCAGACACTCACTGGTAGACAGTTTTTGCACTGGGAGCTGGGGAGAGGCTGTCAGCAACTTACAGCCGATTAAATCTTTCCTCTCTGCTGCTGCTGCTGCTTCATGTCTGCATTGCCTAATGGACTGCACCAGAGTGCAGTGGGTTGTGAGAGTCCCTCACGATCCCCTGAGGCCCTTCCATTGTGGCTTACATGGGGTTTTTATGTTAAAGGACTGAGGGGGTGGGCTGGTGGGGAGAGCAGGTGGCCAGGGTATTACGGCCACCCTTCCAGGGGTTCTACCCCCAGCTGGGAGGGGGGTGGGGTCCAGTGGGTTCATGTGGGGGCTGGGAGCCAGGGCTCCTGGGTTCTATTCCAGCTCTGGGAGGGGAGTGGGGGTAGTCTTAAGCAGAGGAGGCTGGTAGCTGGAGAACAATAAGGTATGGTCTTGCTGATGTTTTTCCATGTGAATGCGTCTCAGACACAGCCTGACCTCCTGCGGCCCTCCCACCCCCTATGGCATTTAGGGGCTCAGACCCCTTTCCCTCAGCAAAGGTTGGGCACAGTCCCTCCTTCTGTGGGTGGCTCAGACTCCAGCGAGTCCTAACTCCTTTGCTCTCCTCTGCTCAGGGTGGATCTGCAGCAGCAGCTCATGACCATCATAGACGAGATGGGCAAGGCCTCGGCCAAGGTAAGGCAGAGTTTGGAAACCGAGGAGTTAATGGCATGTGGGATGGGATTAGGCTCTGGGGTGGGGGGAAATAGGGGTACTAGGGTCAGCCAGATGTGAGCTCTTCCACCCTTGTTTACCCCGCCCTGTTATTTGAAGATGAAGGCTCATCAGTGAGCTAGAAAATGGGTGAGCTCAGGAGAGTGGCGAATGGGACAGGGCGGGGGCTTTACCCTCTAGGGGGCGCTGACTTCGACGTGGCCCCAGGGCAGGGTACAGGCTGGCTTAGAGGGCCAGGAGGCACTGGGTCCGATCCAGGGCTGAGCTGTGGTAGTTCTCCTCCCCAGCACAGCTTTGCCCTCTGCTCCAGCTCACCCCAAATCTGTTTCTAGGCCCAGAACCTGCCGGCCCCAATTACCAGTGCCTCGCGGATGCAGACAAACCACCACGTTCTCTACATCCTGAAGGACAATGAAGTGAAGACGTGAGTCCCTTTGCGACCCGGGTTTGGTTCCCGAGCCATCCCTGTGGAGAAGGGCACGTCATTCTGCATCAGACCAGTGGGCTGTTCTGGTTTATTAGCTGGCCTCCCCAGATCACACCCATGGGCCCATCTAGCCTGGTATCCTGCCTTCCCAGATCAAACCATTGGCACAATCTAGCCCAGTATCCCACCTCCGTTGATCAGACTGATGAGCCCATCTAGCCTGGTATCCTGCCTCCTTGCATGAGACCCATGGGCCCATCTAGCCCAATATCCTGCCTCTCTGCATCAGACTCATGGGCTCATCTACCCCAGTATCCTGATCAGCGCAATGAACACTTTGGTTCTGCCCCTCACAGCAACCAGTGCTGGGTACTTCTGAGAAAGTTATAAACTTCCCCAATGCTCCCCACTGGGCAGTACCCTCAGATGATGAGAGATTCCTTCTTGGCCCCCACCCCCTTCCTCAGGTGGGCATCAACTCCTGTCCTGAAGCCTGAGGATTGGATGTGTCTACATCTGTCTGCTCCCCTACATGCCTCATTCCATAAGCGCCGACTCCGTGGGTGCTCCAGGGCAGGAGCACCCACAGGGAAAAATTGGTGGGTGTTCTGCACCCACCGGCAGCTCCCCGCCCCCCCTGCCCTCCTTCATCACCCCCATCACCTCCGCCTCCTCCCCTGAGCACGCCGCGTGCCCGCTGTAATGATGCTGGTTCTGGTGGGATCCAACTGAGAGTGCCAATTCAGGACAAATTGCTTAAAGCAAGGCAGTTACAGCCCAAGGCTGGGGTTTTTCCACCTCTAAGGCAAACCAAACCAGCCAGACAGAGAGGACTTTGGTTTTTCCCCACTGGCTAACCACAAGTCACACAAGAAATTCCCTTGGACGCTCCAGTTTCCTAGTATCACCACCAGTGCCACTCGTTAGGGAGATAAATGATTATGGAAACCAATACCCCAGTAAAAGAAAAAAGGTTCTCTCGATCCCAAAGGACCAAGCCCCAGACCTAGGTCAATATATAAATCAGATCTTACTCACAAATCACGCTGTTGCCAATCCTTTTAGAATCTAAAGGCTTATTCATAAAAGGAAAAAGATATAGATGAGAGCTAGAATTGGTTAAATGGAATCAATGACACACAGTCATGGCAAAGTCCTTGGTTCAGGCTTGCAGCAGTGGTAGAATAAACTGCAGGTTCAAATCAAGTCTCTGGAGTACATCCACAGCTGGGATGGGTCTTTCAGTCCTTGGTTCAAAGCTTCAGTGTAGCAAAGTTCCTCCAGAGGTATGAAGCAGGCCTGAAGACAAGATGGAGGAGCTGCAGCAGCTTTTTATATTCTCTTGCCATGTGGTCTGTCTTTCTTTGTCCTAAAGACAAGCTGTCCATCACATGGCCTGGAAAAACCTCAGAGTTCTGTCCATAGGCATGTCCCTGCATACCTTGCTAAGTCACCGAGGTGTGTCTGCCTTCTCTCAAAGGGTCAGTTGTATAGCTGATGGTCTTTAATGGGCCATCAAGCAGGCTAGGCAGAGCTGACACCAACTTGTCTGGGGTGTCACCCAGAAGAATAGCATAAGTTTGAAATATAGACAGTATAGAGCCAATATTCATAACTTTAACTACAAAAATGATACACACATATAGACAGCATAATCATAACCAGCAAACCATAACCTTGTCTGAGACACCTTATTTGACCCCCTTTATACAAGCTTTGGTGCCACTACAGGACCCTGGTTGCAACAATGATCTATACGGTCCCAGTTCATGTCAGTAACGTCACACCTGCTTTTTCCCCCTAGCTCCCAGCACTTGCGCCGCAAAACAGGTGTTCCGTGCAGCTGGGAGGGAGGGGGGAGGAGGGGGAATGTGGCATGCTTGGGGAAGAGGTGGAGCTGGGGCAGGGATTTGGGGAAGGGATCCAATAGCGGCAGGGAGGGGGCGGAGTTGGGGCGGGGACTTTGGGGAAAGGGTTGGAGTGAGGGCGGGGGAGGGCGAGCACCCACCGGCGCCAGGGAAAGTTGGCGCCTATGCCTCATTCAGCTCTTTGACAGGGTAATGTCCTGCAGCAGTGAGTTTCACAGGTTTTCATTCCCTCCCCCTCTACATTCACCATACCATAGATATTGGAGGATTAGATGGGACCTTCGCTCACCTGTCCATGGCTCCTCTGACCCTATGAAGCTGGTATCATAGAGACTAGAGGAACTTCATGCACAGAGAGGACAATCTTGGCTTCCCATCAGTGTGTGTCTCCTCTGTCTCCTCTCTCCCAACTTGATGCCTTCGCTAATGTCCCCTCTTTTCCTCCCCCATTGCAGAGCAGGGAAAGGGGCCATAATCGGCTTCCTCAAGGTCGGCTACAAGAAGCTCTTCCTGCTGGTGAGTTGCTGTAATGCAGCTCTGAACTGGAGACCCAATAGGAGATGCGCTCCCCTCTCAGTCAGCGCTGACCCAATGCTCCAGTGCGGCACTAGGGGGTGCTGTGCTGCACGAAGCAGAGTGGATGGCTCAGTAGGGGGCACTGTCCCCTCACAGTCTGTGCTAACCTCAGTGGTGTGCTGTCTAACTGGCCTTTTGTGTTCCATTCACATTGCGATCCTTGTTACTTGGATCAATTTCAGCATCAGGGGAAAAACCTCTGTTGGAAAAGTTTCACCCAGCTTTAATCAGGACTCCTGGGTTCTATCCCTGGCTCTGGGAAGAGAGTGGGTTCTAGTGGGTTAGAATGGGGCGTGGGTGGGGGCTGGGAGTCAGGACTCCTGGGTTCTATCCCTGGCTCTGTGGAGGGAGTTGGGGTCTAGTGGGGTCGGCGGGAGCTAGGAGTCAGGACTCCTGGGTTCTATCCCTGGCTCTGGGAGGAGAGTGGGGTCTAGTGGGTTAGAGCAGGGGTGTCCATGAGCCAGGACTCCCAGGTTCCCTGACTTTTCAGGGCAGGTCACCTATTCTGGGGGCCCCCTGGTTATTCAGCACTGCCTGCGTATTCCCTCCCTCTTCCCGCCCCCCCTTCCCAGGATCGCCATGGGGCTCACAACGAGGTGGAGCCGCTGTGCGTGCTGGACTTCTATATCCATGAGTCGCTGCAGAGGCACGGCTATGGCAAGGAGCTCTTCCAGTGCATGCTGCAGGTGAGAGCAGGGGCCCAAGGGAATTGCTCTGTCTGGGAGGGTCCCTCTCACCCCTTTCCTGCCTCCCTACCATGCCGGGTGGGAGGGTTTGGGGATCACCCAGCCCAGTGAGGGGGTCTGGCACCACCTGCCTTGTAAATTCGGGTGCCATCATGCCCATACGGCTCAGAGCTCTGATTCCAGGCATAAAGGTCTCACCCTGGCTTCCACCAACCTACTTACTCCTTGCAGGATGGCCCCACTAGCCCAAGTCGTCATGTCGTCCCTCCCCCCCCCCAAAAAAAAAAACCTGTCTCTCTGAATTACCCCACACTTGGACCTTTCCCTTCTGGTTCCCTCCTTCCCCCCCCCCACCCCCAAAGGGGAGAAATCTGCCCCCAGTTATCAGTTCCCTTTGTCGCACAGGCTGCATCCTAGAGCCCGGCTTGGAGGAGAAATAAGGGGAAAAGTTGATTGAATAGAGAAATCGCAGTGCCAAAGAGGAAATAGTGAGGGAAAGCCAACGCGGATGAGCTCCGCGGAAAATAAAGACGCTGTCTCAGGCTTCACGCTTCTCTGTTAGCCAAATTCCCTTTCCTGATGCCAGTTACCTGAACGGTTTCCCAGCATGCCCTCTGTTCTAGTGGGCCACAGACAGCACCCTGCTTAGATGCCAGCCCTGGACAGCCTTCACTTCCTCAAGCCTTCTTCCCTTTGGACAGGCTTTATGGGTTTCATGTTCCCCCCGCCCAGACTGTGGGAATTTACAGAGTGCGGGAAACTCCCTCCTCACCTAGTTTTCCAAGACTGGGGTTTTCTTGTCAGTTTCAGCGTTTTTCCATTAACTCCAGTAATCCCCCATGAGCTTTCCCTGGGCAGGCCAATGCTTGGTGCCCCTGCCTGTCTGATTGCTTCACACCCCTGTCGAGAGGTGATGCTGTAGCTGAATCCTGGTGTGGCGGTTCAGTGATGAGACAGAACACAGCTTTTTGCAAGCAAGCAGGCTGGTCAGCTGAGATGGGCGTTCTCTGCCCCCCCGCCTTCCACCTTCTCCTTTTATTATATTTCTCCCCCTAAGCATTACACACTGCTACACAAAGGAATGTGTGACGTTAATTCATATACTTAGTTACCATCCCCTATCTACTACAATCCTGGTTCTCAGGCCTTGAGCCCAGGCTAAGAAAGCCTCCCACCGTTGCTGTCCAAACAATCAAGTTCTCATGGTTCATATCTAGCCCTTGTCCTTGGATAGAGCAATGTGTGCATTGCTTCTACGAAACAGTCAGGGTGTGCCCCGCCTGCTTCCAGGTGGAATAGCTAAACATTAACCCTTCAATCCTGGTTACAGTTACAATGTTCTGAACATACGTGCATATGGTCATCACCAGAGCCTGTACACGGATTTCCTCATGGCCACAAAGTTCAGGTCACTACAAGCTTTCATTAAAGACCACCCTTGACATATATTGATACACAGTAATATTGTCCACAACCAATTGATTCAGTCACTTATTCTGGCGGGTTCAAACCCCCTGTTCTCCCCTTGGGGTGTCTGGATCCTGACTGTCACAATGCGTGACCCCATTGATTCATCTGGACCTGTATTCCCACATCTTTGGGGGACCCCATTGGTCCATCTGAGCCTGGATTCCAGACCACTGGTCGGTCTGGTATCCGGAGTCTGTGACCAGGCCTGAGGCTGCTGGGAAGTGGCCAGTTAGAGGTGGTGGTTGTGACCAGGAACTGGGTTCGGGCTCACCAACTGCTTTCACATGTGGGCCAACAGATGGGAACAACCTTAAGCAGCTACTGACCTGGAGCTGGAGTGGAATTGGTGCCCCCTAGAGGCGAAAGGCCCTGTGTCCCATTCCCTGCCCCCCTGACCCAGCCAGTCTCCCAACCAGGGACCAGATTGGAGCTGTGAATTTGGTAGGGCCCTACCCATTCCCCACCCCCTGCGCCAGCCAGTCCCTTAGCTGAAGATGTTGCTTGTACCGTGGGTGTGTTTAATCTTGACCCTGTGACCTTGACTAGTCCCCGATTGTGTCTCCTCTCCGGCTGTCAGCGTGAGCGAGTGCAGCCCCACCAGCTGGCCGTGGATCGCCCCTCAGAGAAACTCCTCTGCTTCCTCCACAAGCACTACAATCTCCAGGGGACCATCCCCCAGGTGAGTCGCACCCTCTGGCTCCTCCCATCATCCTCCGGGGGTGAGGGACGGATACACCCCATTGTGCCGTTGGGGCGGCGGAGGGCATGTACTGAGTGATTTATCAGGAGCAGCTACTTTCTCGGCTGCCAGCCATGCCAGGGAGCTGCAGAGGAGAAGGCTCTTGCCACGTTGGAGGGCCAGAGGGGCTGATTCTCAGCTCCCCCGCTCCTGGGCTTGGATGTGGCTTCAGACCACCTTTGTCCTCCTGGAGCAGCAGGGGCCTGAGCATGACTGGGCAGGGCAAAGAGGAGGCTGGCGAAGGGCAGGCATATGAGGGTACCGGGGGGGGGAGGAGGGGAGGCTGGCTGGTGCTAGGGGAATGGGGGGGGGAGGCTGGCACTGGGGAGTAAAGGAAGGGAGGAGGGGGGACTGGTGCTGGGGCACAATGGGGTTGGCGGGGAGTTAGGGGAGGAGCTGTCTCTGGGGCGGAATGGGGGCAGCGGGGGTGGGGAAGGCGGCTGGTACTGGGGTGTTGGGGGCTGGCGCCAGGCGGGGGAGTGGGAGTGGGGGCAGGAGGCGTCAGAGGCAGGAGTTTCTCATTGTCCGTGGCCTTCGCTTCTCCCAGGTGAACAACTTTGTGATCTTCGAGGGCTTCTTTGCTGACCAGCACGGTGAGTGGCCTGGCCGTGGGTGGCCCTCCCTCTCCGTCAGCAGGGGGCGCTCCCCTGACATGTAGCCCATACCCTGCCCAGGGACATCCCTGAGTCACAGCCGCCAGCTGGGGGCTGCTTTGATGGCAGCTGCAAAGCCCAGCCTGCCCCCTAGGGGTCAGCATCAGTCCTGCTACCCCATTGCATAGGCAGGGCTACCCCAGAGGCCTGGGGTTTAGACCAGGGGCTAAGACAACAAATCTGGAGGGCAAGTGGCAGCCCCGAGGGGGTAGCAAACACCCCCAATCGGAGCGATAACAGCACCACTCAGTCCTGCTTTCTGCCTGGTGGGTCCTGTCTTTCCACTGCCTTGTGGGGTTTCAGGCCTGAAGCGAAAGAGGGAGGTGGTCTTCACCCCTTCCCGGCCAGCTGGGCCAGCTAGCCTGGGTGGCGAGCAAACGGGAAACAAAAATTGGGGTTTGGCCCCTTTAAGGCCAGGTGCATTCTGGGAGTTGTAGTCCCCCAAGAAGGAGCTAGAGCTAGACTTGTGGGGAAGGAACAGGACCTCTGCTGTATCCTGCTTCTCACCCGGACAAAGGGCAGAATGGGAAACTGAGGCACCGAGCAGTGAAGTGACTCACCCAGCAGGCCAGGTGGCAGTGCAGGGAATAGAATCCAGGTGTCCTGTGTCCCGGCCCACTGCTCTAACCCTTAGGCAACCCTGCCTGTGTTTGAATCCTGTTAAGCTCCAGGCCTCAGGACTCTCCCGTGTCCGTGAGTTCCACAGGCTCATGCTGACTTCATTCATATCAGTGGGATTTAACCCTTTGTGCTGCCTTCGTCTCCTCCTCCCGCTGCTGATCGTCCCAGAGCTGCGGTGGAGGGGTGGGGGGCAGTGTTACCGAATGCCTCTGGAACTTAACCTCGCCCTTTTTTCCCCCTCATGCTCGGGCCCATCTCATATAGAGAGCTGGTGCATTCTTAGCATGCCTAGATCCTCCCTGCCTGAGGTTCCTGGCTGCCATGCCTCCCGTTGCCCTGGGGGTGGCGTTCTCTCTAAGCAGCATCAATGCAGTAAGGAACTCGTACCTCTCCCTGAGTGTCTCCTCCCCTGCATCTCACCCTGAACCCCACTCAGAAGCCCCCTCTTCTCCTCTGTCCTGTGATGACCCCCCGAACCTCGGCTGATCTGACCCCATCTTGTCAGCATCCCTACCGCCGCTTCGGCACCTCCATGTGCAGAGCAAGTGGCACGTTACAGCTTGTTGCTGTCTACATGGCACGTTCATCTCTGTGCAGATTGACAGGCTGTTACCTCATGCAAGCATTATTTCAACCACAGCTGTAACACAGCTACCTCTGGGGTGGGCCGTGGCAGCTCCTTAACAGCCAGGCAGCAAGATTTCACAGAGATCCTCAGCCTAGTACTGAAATGCAGCCACTTCTGGGTGGGGCAGCTGATGAACAGCCATGCAACAGCACCACCCAGAGATGGCTTAACCAGCGCTGAAATGCTGCCACCTCTGGGGTGGGGCAATTGGATAACAGCCACGCAGCAACACAGGGATTGCTCACCTACCACTGACCCGTGTTGGGGGAGGGGCATAGCAGCTGTTTAATACTCATACCAGAGCATAAGGCCAGATATGACGAATACAGTGACTAGCAGCTGTTTGGGACAGGAAGTGAAGAAGAATTTTTCTTCAGTTACTCCATTAAAAGTGTAGGAAAGCTCGTGGAAGTGGGACTAGGAGGAGAAGAATGAAGAAGGAGTGCCTGATTGAATGCGAGTGATCGGCACCTTGAAAGGACACTGCCCCCTATGGGTCAGCACTTACTGAGGGGAGTGCGCCCCCTACTGAGCCCCCACCCTGCTCCCTGCAGCACAGCACCCCCTAGTGCTGCTCTGGGGCATTGGGGTCAGCACAGCACTCCCTACTGAGCCCCCACCCTGCTCCCTACAGCACAGCACCCTCTAGTGCCACACCGGGGCATGGGGGTTGAGTCTTCCACTCTCCCATCATTCATCCAGTACCATGCTCTGAGCGCCAACCTATAGCAGCATCAGGAGCAGGCTGGCCAATGCAGCAGCGCTCTGTCACCCTCTTGAGGCAACTCAACCACACCACGCCCTGCCGCCCTAATCCATTCTGTGCCAGGGTTGAAAGCCGTCACTGAAAGGCAGCATGCGGGATCAAGCTCTGCAATTTGCCCCGCTTTGCGGGGAGGGGACGCTACGTTCCAAGCCGGGGACTTGCAGAGACCGATTGAATCAGCGTCCCTATAGCCTTTATCCCTGTCACACGATTTCCATTCCCTTGTGTTTTCAAAAGCCTGCCCAGCTGGAACAAAGAGAGTCCTTTGTCTCCCACATGCATCAAGCGGGGAGCTCGGGACAGCTGCCATCTCCTACTGGTTACACCCCCAGGCCATCATATCAAATGGCCTCTGATTTCCAGCCCCTTGGTCGTGGGCTGCCTGACTCCAGACACCTGCAGCCTGGCTCTCAGAGGTGCTGATCACGCACAATGCCACTCGTAGACAGTGGGAAATGTGGATCCTTGGGCAAATCACTTTAGCTGAGCACAGAGAAGGTGAAGGGGTGACTTGATCCTAGGTTGACCAGATGGCAAGCATGAAAAATCGGGACACTTCTTTTTCGGGGGCGACGGATAGAGTTGCCTATTTAAGACAGAGCCCCTAATCTTGGGACATCTGGTCAGCCTACTTGATCACTGTCTAGCAGTACCTGCATGGGGAAGAGAAATCTGATAGTAGGGGGTTCTTCAGTCTAGCACAGGGGTTCTCAAACTTTTTTTGCTGGGCCCCCCTTTGAAAATATTTCAGGCTGTGCCAACCCACCTCACTCTTGGTACCAGACATAGCTTTCGCAACATGAGTGCAGATCCCTACAAAGCTAAGTAACCGTACTATGCCCCCCCCTTACTTCTGTGCTGCTGCTGATGGCGGCGCTGCCTTTAGAGCTGGGTGCCTGGCCAGCTGCAGTCACTTTCTGGCCGCTCAGCATGGTATGGTATTGCCACCCTTACTTCTGTGCTGCTGCTGATGGCAGTGCTGCCTTCAGAACTGTGTGGCCGGAGAGCGACAGCGGCTGGCCGGGCACCCAGCTCTGAAGACAAGGAAAAATGACGAGCAAGAGAAAATTACAGACATTTGTTTGTATTTCAAAAATCCACCCAGACGGAGCTTGGAGGACCAAAAAGGAGGTCATATCTGGGAAAACTCAGATGTTTGGTCACCCTATAATTTGTGTGATCTCGCGACTGCCCTACAATAGTCTTGAGATCCCCTTTTGTGTTGGGACCCCCAGTTTGAGAAACGCTGGTCTAGCAGACAGAGGTCTAACGAGATTCAACGGCTGGAAGATCGAGACTGGTATATTTTTACCAGTGAAGGGTATTAATGGTTGGCCCAGCTGTGCTGTGCTGGATTCTCCATCACTGGAGATTTTAAAATCAAGAACGGGTCTTTTTTTTTTCCCCATAAAAGATCTGCTCTGGTTCAACCAGGGATCAATCCAGAGCCGTTCTGTGGTCTGGCTTATCCTGGAGCTCAGATTACAAGTGTCCCATCTGCCCTTAAAATCTAGAAAGCGGATCCTAGGCGACAGGGGCCCAAACATGCAAGGGAGACTACAGTCAGAGGCTGCTCTTGGATAGGTTGGCCCAAGCGTCTCTGAAAACAGGGAGCATCTCTCTGTTCTGGGTTTGGACGGCTGCTGAGCAGTGACTGGGTGGTAGGGGAATGCAGATATAATAGCGACGAATGTTGCTTCTGCTCCAACTGGACCCCTCCTGGCAGAAATGCTAATGCCTCATGGGGCCGCATCCCATTCAGTGATGGGTTGGTGCCCTACACGCTGCTTTGTAGGGCTTTGCCGAGTCTAGCAATCAGTGTTTCAAGCACGAGGGTACCTGCCCCTTTCTTCCATGGTGGGGCAGCTGGGGAACAGCTGCATATTAGCGCTGCACAGGGATTGCTCGTCAGACACTGAGATGCAACCGCCTCTGGGGTGGGGCAGGAAGGGAACAGCTGCACAGTGATGCTGCACAAGGATTGCTCATCCAGGGATGAAATGCAGCCATCTCTGGGGTGCGGTAGTTGGAGAACAGATGCACAGCAACTTGGCACAGGGATCAATCAGCCAGTGCTGAGATGCAGCCACCTCTGGGGTGGGGTGCAGCATCCATTTAACGGCGAACAGCAACAGTGCATGTTTTGGAAAGGAAAGGAAACCTACAGGGTGTGGTGCTTAGAGAGGCAGTACAATGCAATCAGCCATAGTGAGATTTGGCCAGGACCCTGGGGTGCGTTTGCTGCAGTAGCGCCTACTAGCCCAGGCACAGCCCAGGACCCCGTTGTGCTAGGCGCTGTACAGACCCAGACCAAAGCGACCGGCCCTGCCCCGAAGAGCTGGCAATCAAAGTTAGGCCAGGAGTGATCATGGCCTGGTTTGGAGTGCTCCGGTGAGCCCAGGACGGGTTTGAAACCTCCAGCTCTGGGATGTGGTAGTTACGATCTGGGCCAACCCCTTCTGGCCTCTGCCTTTCTGGGACTGACCTTTCTCACCCTCTCCCTGCAGCTCCGGTGAGGAAGTTGCCTCCAAAACGTGCTGAGGAGGAGATAAAACCCTACTCTCTGACAGACCGAGAGTGTAAGAGACCCGTTGTGCCGGCCCAGGGTGGGGGGCAGGGACTGGGACATGGGGCCTTTCCCCTCTAGGGGGCGCTGGCTCTGATCCAGCCTGTGGATGGGGGACTGGCTGGCTGGCTGGGGAATGAGACACAGGGCCTTTCCCCTATAGGGGGTGCCGACTCTGATCCAGCCCGGGAGGAGGGGCGGAGCAGTCTGGTTGGCTCAGGGGGTGGGGAATGGGATGGGGGCGCTGGCTGTGATCCAGCCTGTGGATGGGGGACTGGCTGGCTCAGGAGTATCCCCACCTAGGATGTGCCCCTCTGTCCCCAAACAATCCCAGGAGGTTTGGTGTGGCGCCCCAGTGGCTGAGAAGAGGCAGCACTTGGCTGTAATGAACATCAAAGGGGGGTTGAGACTGCTGGACCCTGTGGGCCCTTAACCTGACTAACCCAGCCTGCACTGCCTAGTGTCACCACACAGGGACTCAGCAGGGCTGTGACAGGGGGTCCCCTGAAATGAGGCTGCTGGCACGTGTGGTTTTCAGTATGTCCCCCCGTTTGCTTTGACTGGAATGGGGGCTAGAATGATTCCCCTTTCCCTTCTGCCCCCAGCCCAGCTGCTGCATTGCCCACTCCCCTTCTGCTTCCTTCTTTGCTTCCCTCACCCAGCACACCCCCCCGAGGGTTCTTTACTGCCCTGCACAATGATCGCACTGCACCCACCAATCAGCCGTCAACCACACTGCCCTCTCCAGGAGCCGCTCCCACAGCTGTTGTGGGGGAAGCCACCTCCCCTCTGATGAGGGAGGGCAGATCCCCACCCCCCACTTTGCAGAGAGGGCAGAATGGACCCCCCCCCACACACACACACACACACACACTGCTAGCTGGAGGGGTTCATCCCATTGCTACCGCCACACAGCATAGGCAGATGGACTGGACTGTCCGTATTATGTTCTATCAATCTTATCTAGCCTCCATCATCATAGGATCTGAGCACCTCACAGTAGCTCTGGGAAGCAGGGCCCTGCTATTAGCTGCCTTCTGCAAATGGGGAAACTGAGGCACATGGAGGCTAAGTGACTTTCCCAAGGTCATTCAGGGAGTTTGGGGCAGAACCGGGAATAGATCCTGGGTTTGCCGAGGCCCAGACAAGCACCCTTACCACTGGGCCATCCCTAGACAAGAGAGGCTGAGAGCTGGAAAACAACCTGGGCCCGTCTTTCTTAACGTGCCCCTTTGTCACACATCTTGGACCTCTCTAGCAACAGGAGGCCCCTAGAGAACTCTATGACTTTGCAAGGTTCACTCCCTTCCCCTTTGTTAATCCAGGATCCCAAGGGCCCCCAGGCTGTACCTAGGTTAGGAAGGGGGTGGGGGGCACGGAGCAGGGCCAGAGGGCCTGATCCTGGGCATCTCCCTTCAGTCCTGAAGGAGGAGGTGGAGCCACCCTGGCCCTTCAACCAGTCGCACTCGCTGACCCGCTCCAGCAGCCTGGGGAACTCGCCGGTTCGCACCTGCCTCAAGCCCTTCCTCAACGAGCAGGAGCTGCTGCGGAACCTGCGCCTCTGCCCCCCGCATGCGGCCGCCCACCACCTGCTCAACGGCGAGCCGGGCGGGCCGGCCGCCCAGAGGCGAAGAACCAGGTACGGGACGGGGGACGTTGCCACTCTAACCCTGATGGACCCAGCCAGCATTGCGCCTAGGAGCCTGGGCCCTTTTATGGAGGGCATCCTGCTGGGTAGTGCCCGGTCACAGGGATCTGGGCGGCATCCGATTACAGGTGGTTTCCATTAGCGGGGATCTTGGCTGCTGGGCAGCACCTGCTCCTGGGGATTTGGGATCTGAGCTGCCAGGCGGTGTGCGGTTCTGGAGATCTGGGTCGCAGGGCTGTTGGATGGCATCCAATCCCATGAGATCTTGAGGATCTAGAACACAGGCTGGCCTCTGATCCTACAGATCTTGGATCTGGGCTGCTGGTTGACGTCTGGTCCTGGCAATCTGGGGAATGTGGGTGCAGGGTGGTATCTTCTCACTCAGCCAAGAACCAGAGGAGAGAGCAGGTAAGGGGGAGCATGACCCTCTTCCTCATTCTCCTGGTCCTATGTTTTGAACTGCGTTAATGCACAGCTGCTCAGCTCTGTCCCCTCCCGCAGTTACCCGGAGAGGGCAGCTGCAGACTGGATGTGGGGCCTCCCTGCTTTGGGCCAGACTCAGTGGGGCTGTGAATGAGGGGGAGTTGCTCAGCACCGGGGAGGTGGAAGCAGCTGTTGCGTCGTTTGGCGAGCCCTGGCTGGACCACCTGCATTGCACGCTTATCCTGATCATCCACGTCTTGCACGTCCACCCCAAGTGCTGCCTTGGGGGGGAGTTGGCCTTATTTTGCACAAACTGCCAGCCCTCGGTTTGTGCGCCCATGCCAAACTTTTCCCCTTCTCCGGGCTGCACACGCTGCCGCTGAGGCCCAGATCCCCGCCCACTAGCATCGCATATTCGCTCTAGTAGCAAGTCAGTGCAGATTGTCCTCGATTTGCACTGGCCAGGTGTCAAACTGGTGCTGTTTCCCCTGCTTCCGCACGTCCGCATTGAGTGCTAGATTGGTACCTCCCGTTCGCAGCGAGTCCCAGATCGGTGCAAGGTGCACTAGTTTTGTGGGTGAGTGCCGGATCCGTGCAAGGAGACCCCCTTTTGTATGTTACCACCGAGCGCTGCATGGCCCATGTTATACTCATGTTGCACACTGTGGTGTGGGATCTGTGCAAACCACACTGATTTTGCATGCCAGGTTGGAGCCATGTGATTTTGCACACTTATGTTGCACACCACCATGTTGCATCCATGCAAATTGCTCTGATTTTGCTCGCTCACCCTTTGCAGTTCAGGTGTTGGATTTGTGTGAGCTGCACTGTTTTTACATGCTCACTGTTTGCACACACACATGTTGGATCTCTGCATACCTCACTGATTTTGCATGCTCACTTGTTGCACATTCAGATGCTGGATGTGTGCGAGATGCATTGATTTTGCACACTCAGAGGTTGGATTTGTGTGAGCCAGTCTGAATTTGCACACTCAACCTTTGCAAGCTCAGATGTTGGACTAGCCAACTAGTTTTGCACACCCACCCTTTGCACACCAGCATGTTGGACCTGTGTGAGCCATATCACTTTTCCATACTTGTGCTTTGCACACCAGGTTGGATCCACATCAGCTATGCTGCTTTTGCATGCTTGTGTTGCACACGATAGTGTTGGGTCCATGCAAAGTTCTCTGATTTTGCACACTCACACTTTGCCTGCTCAGCATGTTGGATCCACGGGGGGTGCACTGATTTTGCAGGTTCACCATTTACATGGCCGGGGCCAGCTCAGTGCAACCCCCACTGGTTTTGTACGCTCATGATTTGCACCCACAGCTGGATCCATGCAAGCTGCACTAACTTTTGCACACTCATGCTTTGCATACCCAGGTCTGGATCAGTGCAAGCCACGCTCCGAGCTGCTCTCACTTGACACCACTGCCAGCCAGTTCAGCTCTGGGCTAGTCACCCAGCTTTGTCCCTTGCCCCCTGCTTTCCAGCCAGTTGGCGGTGTGGGGGGGTCATTCCCACTTTTTCCTGCACTGCTGAATTTGGCCCAGCAGAACCAACACCTGGTGCCTTTAGCCATTCCCACTGCGCCCCCAGAACCACACAGTAGCTCAGGAGACCAGGCGGGATAAGAACCAGAAGTCACCAGCCATCTCTTTTTGGGTGAGGGGGGGAAAGGGATCTTGCTTGGTCACATTTCCCCCAGCCTGCCTGGGATCTAACCTGTCTTCTCTCTGTCTTTCTCTCTGCCCCCTCCTCCCCATCCCAGCTCCCTCACCCGCTCGGAAAAAAACAGCTATTGACGTCGCCGCTGTGTCCCCCACCCCCGCCCCGGCTTGGTCGTCCATTTGTGTCTTGAGATCTCAGGCGGCGAGAGGGGGAGGTTTCAGCCCCATCGTTCCTCCACAGCCCTTTTTTATAGGCTTCGGTGGGGCTGGCGCAGATGCTGGGTTATTTCCGGGGCTCAGTGGGTGTTTTTCCTGGGCTGCTTGTTTTTCTATGGAATGATCCTAAAACTCCCTCTAAAGAGGGATCCGGTCCCATTAGCACGGTAGTTCCCCCCCACCCCCTTTTTTTAAATATGCATATGTTGTACTTTGGATCCAAAGCTCTCAGAGGTTTACAGTGGGAAATCTGGTTCTGATCGTCCCTCCCGTGCCGGATCTCGAAATGGGATCTGCTGCTTGGTGCCAGATCAGATCCTCCCCTTGTGTTTGTCTGTAGGTGGATTTAAAGAAAAGGATCCACTGCAAATTGGCAACTGCAGACTCAGAAATAGGACCCCCTTGTTTGTCTTGGGATCTAACTGGGATCCACTATAGATTGCCAGTGGACTTAAACTAGATCTCGTCAATCCACTCTAGAACCAGGTCCCCTTGCGTGTCATCGTTGCTGGGTCTACTTGCAGATCACCAGTGGCTGACTTAAGGATAGAATCCATGTGTATTCCTTAGTGGGTGGATCTAAAAGCAATCCACTAATTTGCTGACTTAAAGGGATCCCTTTATTTTTCTCAGTGGCTGGATCTAAAAAGGATCACCAAATACTAATCTCATCATCAGAAATAGGATCCCCTTATGTTTCTCGGTAGATCTAAGTGGGATCCAGTGTGGGTGGAGTCTAGAGCAAGGTGCCCCTTGTGGTTCATGCTTGCTGGGTTTAAAGGATCTACTGCTGATCACCAATTACTGGTTATGTTTCTTAATTGGTGGATCTAAAAGGGATCAGCTGCAGGTCACCAATTCCTGGTTTTAAAATGAGATCCCATGTGATTTGCAGTCGGTAGATTTAAAAAGATCCACTCTGGCCCACTAACAGAAGACTCTGAAATAAAGTCCCTTTGTCTTGTGTGGTTGCTGGATCTAAAAGGGATTTGCTGCCGATTACCAGTTGCTGGCTTCAAAATATGACCCGTTCCTTGTTTCCCCGTGGCTGGATCTAAAAGAGATCCAGTGCAGATCACCAGTACTGACTCCAGAATAAGATCTGCTTCTCTATTTTCTTGAGTAGGTTAGAAAGGGATCTGCTTCATGCTGCCAACCACTGAAACCAAACTAAGATTGAGTTGCATTCTTTGACTGGTGCATCTGAAAAGGGGCCTGCCTTAGCAACACCCTAAACCGACAGGCTACTGGGTCCTCCAAAGGTGATCCACTACATGTTGCCAATTGCTAAATCCAACAAATAGAGTCCGCCCCCAGCTTCCTGATTGCCTGGGTTGCCACATGGCTCCATTACAAATGCCTCCTAAAAAGGTTGTCTACAAATTGCCAATGGCTAGAGCCTCAGGAGGGATCCACTGTTGACTGCCAGATCCCTCCGAGGGGTCCCTTCAGCTGACAGATCCATGGTAGAGATCTACAGAGGATGTGGCCAGTACCCAGATGCCCCCAAAGGGAACCACTGTTAATGACTTCTCAGTTGCTTTTGCTCCCGTTCCCCTGAAGGCGTCACAGCTGTTCATGGGCTGAGGAGTCTAATGGGTTAGAGCAGCGGGGCCTGGGAGCCAGGACTCCTGGGTTCTATCCCCAGTTCTGAGAGCTGAGGAGGGGCCTAGCAGGTTACAACAGGGGAGCTGGGAGTAAGGAATCTTGGTTTCTATCCCCAGCTCTGGGAGGGCAGTGGGGCCAAGTGGGTTAAAGTAGGACGGCTGGGAGTAGAGATCCCTGAGTCTCTTCACAAACTCGCTATGTGAAACTGGGCAAGTCCTTTCACCACTCTGTGCCTCAGTTTCCCCATCTGTAAAAAAGTATAAAATTAGGGCCCCATCTCCCAGGGATGTCATGAGGCTTAATGAAAGTGTTAATTAGTTAATAATTATTAACACTGGAAAACTTTGGTTCAAAACCTCCCTGACCTGAATCTGGTGCAGTTATTTTTAAATTATATTAAAACCTGAAGGCCCAGCTGAGATCAGGGCCCTGTTGGGCCGGGCACTGCACAGACACACAGGGAGAGACAGTCCCTGCCCCGGCTGAGATCAGGTCCCCGTTGTGCCCTGCCCCAAAGAACTGACAATCAGACCAGGCATATAAGGGAAGGATTGTTCTCTCCATTTTACAGATGGGGAAACTGAGGCCAGAGAAATTCATGCCTAGATCCTCAAAGGTATTTGTAGATACCTGTGATGAAGTGGGAATGTTCTATAGTAGTTATATGAGACGTCTGTATGCCTCAGTTTCCCCATACTCCGTGCTTCCCGTCAATACTGTGACAGTGGCAGCCTTTTTGAAACAAGGTAACCATTGGTTAGTCACCCTGCACACGGCAGCTGGCGGTTCTTAGGTCAGCGTGGAGGAAAGAAGGTTCAAGCACAGCAAACTCCATGATCAGGCTCTGTCTCTCAGGCCGACCTCCTTCCTCCGCTCCCAGCTTCCCCCCCGGAAGCCAGAACTCCTCCCTCACCTGTCACTCGTTTGTTCTGGGCTTTTTGCTCAGCTTCCTGGCAGAGTGGCGGGGAAATCCATGAGGCCCTGGAGCTCGGTCGCTGGCCCCCTTATTATTCTGGGTCAGTTCCTTCAGGGCTCTCGGCTCCACCCAGGCAGGGAGGGGACACCCACCTATGTCTCTTAGCCTGCCCTGAGTGCAAACTTAAATCAGTGTTCCTCCTCTGGGTACCCGTGCCACATGCAGGGGAAACTGAGGCACACACAGGCCTCCATACAAATACGACAGAAAGTCCCCTCTCCGTCACAATGCCCACTGAACTCACTGTTACGCACCTAGATACCTGGGAGGATCTGCATCTCCAGGACTTGCCGAAGGTCACACCCGCTCAGTGGTAGAGCTGGAAACTGAGCCCAGAGCTCCTGGTTCCCAGCCCAGAGTCTTGTCCACCAGCCTTCGAGCGCACAGCTAGCTCACTGGGTTGACAATGTCTTTCTTTGATCTCTGCCCCCGTTTGTCCCCTCCCAGCTGCCCAGGGCTCTGAGCTGCCTTCGGTCGTCAGCGTTCAATGCGGGAACGTGAGCTTTTGTTTACATTTCAATAAAGTTTGGAGATTTTTTTTATTATTATTCAAAACGTTCCATGGAAGCTTTTGTCGTTTATTGTTGCACCACAGGGGCCGAGGGCAGCTGCACTGCTCTGCCCATCTCAGCTCTGGAACCATCTTATGGAGCTGTGCCATCAGGAGGGGAGTGGGGTCTAGTGGTTAGGGTAGGGAGGGCTGGGAGCCAGGTCACCTGGGTTCTATCCCCATCTCTGGGAGAGGAGTGGGGTCTAGTGGTTAGAACTGGGTGGGGGTCAGAGTCAGGACTTCTGGGTTCTATCCCTGGCTCTGGGAGGGGAGTTGGGTTTAGTGGTTAGAGCAGGGGGGGCTGAGAGCCAAGACTCCTGGGTTCTATGCCCAGCTCTGGGAAGGGAGTTGGGTCTTGCGGATTGAATCTCATCGATCCCTGCAGGTATGCAGCACATTGCCGAGGGTGGGTCTGTCTGGGGGTACAGAACCACTAGTGGTTGCCTAGCCAGCCCCTTTCACCAGCTACTGGGTACCCTGAATAATAAGCTAAGCGCAGCAGTTTGATTGAACCCCTCCTGAAGGTCTGCGCAGAACCAGCCAGGGTCCCTTGGTGCTGCCTGGCTCTGGAGTATAAACCAGGATGGGTTTGCCAGGCGCTGTCCTCGCTGCTTTGTATCAGCTGGGATCCTCTCAGGCCAGTAGACTGATCACTTACATGGCTACCATCTTGCACCTCCAAGGATCCTAGAGTGATTTCCACCTCTACTGAAATGCAGCCACCTCTGGGGTGGGGCAGCTGGAGAACAGCCGCAGAGGGACTCTGCAGCCATTTAGGACAGGAAGTGAAGTGGGTCAGTGGATCCTGTAGGGGGAAAGGGCAGGGAGGTGAAATGCAGGTGTCAGAGTTGGGATTTGGACAGGGTCCTGTGCAAAGCAGGCCTTTCAAGATCACGAGGGTTGTCAGGAACAAGGGCATCGAGATCAGGACTGAGTGCAAGGGGGAGTGCCCCAGGCCGAGCTGCCATCCTGTTCCCTTCAGCACGGTGCGGGCCAGGGTGTCAGCACCACCTGTGAGGGGAGAGTGCCCCCTGCTGAACCCCCCACCTTAATTCCATTCCATCACGTTGTCTGTGCTCCCGTCCCATGAGACTCCATGCCATGTCTGCCCTCCCAGCTTGGCATCCCCCCCACCCCTCACCTTCCACCTCCTCCTCATCACGCCCCCCCCCCGTCTCCTCCCCTCTTTCCTCCAGGGGGAGCGCTGTGGGGCAGGACGGCCTTGTGGCTCAGCGGAGTTCCTACAGCCGCTACGGGAACCCTACCCCATTGCCTGACGGGGTGGCCGGCGGTGCTGAGAGGAGAGCGGGTGAGTGGGGTGGGCGCAGGGCCCCACCCCGAGCTGGACTGGGGTTTCCACCTCTCACTGTGGGCGGGGTTGGGTGTGTCTGGGCTGGGATCGGATCTTGGCATCCTGGCAGGTGGACATCTTGCTGCTCTCTCCCATTGCCTCGAAGCCCAGCACTCAGGCTGCAGCTGCCCCCAGAGTCTGGCAGTTCAGGGGGTCCTGTCCTCGCCCCCTGGAGCCAGCTGGAGTCCTGCCACATCTTCGCTGGTCTCCTCTTGCTGATCCTCTATCCCTCACCCTGCTGCACTGGGCATTGGGGTCAGCACTGACTGCCAGGTGCACTGAGCCCCCCACTTCCTCCCTGTTCCCTGCAGTCCCGAGGTGGCGAGGGTTGGGGGGACTGGGAGCGACTATCAGGGAAGTTACAAGAATTGCTGCTCACTCCCCATTTTGCTCCTTGACCCAGAGAGCAGCCGAGAGCCACTAAGGAGACTCCAGGACTCAGAAGGCCGGTAAGATTCGTGCTTCCGCTGCCCGCCTCTGGGACCCCTCCAGGACACCCCCTACCTCCACAACCTGCTCTCCCCCCACTTCTAGGACCCCATCATGACCCCCCTCCAACCCACATTCCCCACACCACCTGCCTCCCCTCTGCTGGGATCCCTCCCCGGGCACCCCATGCCACCAGCACCCCAACTTCTAGGACTCCTCTGTGATCCTTCCTCCTCTGGCTTTTGTTCCTCACATGGCCCACCTCCCTCGTTGCTGAGAGCCCTCCCCTCCCCCGATCCTTGGCTTGTGCTCCCCACGTCTACCCCCCACCACACTCTAGCAGTATTCGAGGGGACACCCCCCCGGCACTGACTGGTGCCTCCCTCTCTCTATGTCAGGTTGGACAGCACAATGATCACCAGCCAGGACACATCACATCCAGCTCCCCTACCCCAGCCAAGTGGGACGGTCCGTTACTCTGAGGGCACCTCCCTTCCCACTGAGCCGGCCCTGACAGACAGGACTAAGGACCCAGGCGTCCGGGCGGCCCCGGAGTCAAAGCCCTCTGGCCTAGGAGATCCTGTGGACTGCCTCCCTCCACGGCCCAGCAGCAGGTGGTACGACCCAGCCGGGGTGCCATGGGGGAAGCAGCCATCTTGGACGGTAGCGGGAGTGTCACGGGATGCCCAATGGATCCGCTACAAGCAGGAGTATCGCAACACCAGGCCCTGGTGAGCAGGGGGGCAGCTAGCACTAAGCCAGCATGGCTGCAGAACCCCACGCCTACGGGCCCATCTAGCCCGGTATCCTGGCTCCTCCCTGCTGGGACCAATGGGCCCATGTCGCTTGATATCCCAGTATAAGCTTGATCTTCTACTGGCTGGCATGATTCCCCTGAAATTCTACCTGGTCCATCCCAGCCCTTGGTGGCTTTGGTCTGGAAAGTTTATGAAGGGGTGTCACATGAGGTTTTGGAGAGAGAAAAGGAGGCCCCATGCCCAGGCACCAGCCTCCTTCCCCTCTCCCCCGTGATGTTTTCACAGGGGTGGTTGGCAAGGAAAGAGGAGCCAGGGAGGGGGTCACTGGATGGAGGGCTCAGAGCTGGAGACATCAGGGAGCTGGGCAGTGGGAAATGTTCTCTCTAAACTCATGTTTGGATGGGAAATTGGGTTTTCGACGAGATGGAATTGTTCCGTGAAAAGTGACTGCACCTTGTGGGGAATTTCCATTCCCTCCCCCCAACACCTCAAAAAAACCTGAAAATATTTCAATTCTGCGAGGCTGCCGCAGTGCCTCATGGGTGTTGTAGTTCAGTTTACTTCTGTCCCCATTGTTGACTATGGACCAGGCTCCCTGGCTGGACTATGCCTCCGATGATGCATCTGCCTCTCTTCCCCAAGAGACTGTGGTGAATCATGGGAGATGTAGTCCTATTAGGAAGCCCAACCTAGGGAAGAACCTGGGGGCATGAGACACCTGAACTACGATTCCCATTATGCAGCATGACCAGGGGCTCCCATGATGCAACCGCCTTCCCTCTCGAAGAGCTCACGGTTAAGGCTGCGTGTCTGTCATGGTCACGGAGGTCATGGAAGTCACAGTGTCTTTTGCAGTGGCCTGTGTTGCTGGCTCAGGGGCTGCCCTTGGCCAGCAGCAGTTTGGGTGTGGGAGAGGGCTCAGGGCTGGGTCAGGGGGTTGGGTTGCGGCACTTATCTCGGGTGGGGGGACTCCCCAAAAGCAGCCAGGGTGTTCCTCCAGCTCCTAGGCAGAGGGGCCAGGGGGCTCTGCACGCCGCCCCTGCTTGCAGGCACCACCTCTGCAGCTCCCACTGGCTGCAGTTCCCGGCCAATGGGAGCTGCAGAGCCAGAGCTTGTGGCAGGTGCAGCACACGGAGCCCCCTGCCCTTCCTTCCCCCTTGCAGCTGCAGGGACATGCAGGCTACTTGCGGAGAGCTGCGCGGAGCCAGGTAGGGAGCCTGCCAGCCCTTCCAACCCACGGGGCACCAGCGGGGATCCCAGGCTGTGCGCTGTCACCCACCCACCCCAGCACCCATGTGGGTCCCAAGCCACGCCACCAGCACCTCCAGTGCCCCCGGACCGCCCCCCCGCAAAGCACCTGCAGAGCCCCGGCCCAAATTTTAGTTAGGGTTATAGTACAGGTCATGGACAGGTCACGGGCCATGTATTTTTATTTACTATCCGTGACCTGTCCATGGCTTTTACTAAAAATACCCATGTCCAAAAGCTAGCCGTATTCATGGTACGTCATGGGAGATGTGTACACTGGCGGCCTAGCCTACAGCAGAATAACCCTTCTGAATGGCAACTCCCATGAGAGACTGGTGCATCATAGGAGATGTAGTCCAACCAGGTAGCTGGGCCTAAAGACACCCGAACTACAACTCCCATGAGGCACTGTAACAGCTTGTCCAAATCAAAATATTTCACTTTTCAGACTAAATGTTTCCTATTTGAACTTTTGCTGAAAGATTGAATGTTTTCACAGGGAACTGCCTCTCTCCCCCACCCCCTCATTTTCCAACTAATTCTGGGTCAAATGCTGCCATGGGTCATAGCAGAGAACCCAACTGCCCTGCCCAAGATACATTCCTATGGGGGTGGGACATCTATGGGGAGGAGATCCCCCTGCCTTCCTGCTCTCTGTCTTTCATCCCTCATCTAGACACCATCATTCATCTCTTTCTCCGTCTCTCTCTCTCCTCCAAGCCTCTCAATGCCCCCCCCCAGCCCGCTCCCAGACCCCCCACTCCCTGGCTGCTCCTTGTGGGGCATTAGAGTCAACATTAATGGAGAGGGGTGGGGCCAGAGATGGAAGGGGCGGGGTCAATGGAAGGTTCTCAGTATAGGGGCTATGACCCTGACCAGACAGCAGGGAGCCACTGCCTCTTTCCATGGTGCTGCGGATTCCAGGCAGAGAGGAGTGGGATCCCAGTACAGAAAAGGCCAAGCCCCAGTAGGTTGTTTGCATATCCTGGTTATTTAGTGCCATGGGGGTTTTACATTTCCCATCCCGCCGGTTCTGGCCTCTGCACCTCTACGATGGTTTTAACAGCGGCAGGGTGTCGGGCCTTTTAAAGAGAATGAAGTAAACAAACCCGTGAACAGATGGATCTGCAACCGTCCCCCATGATGAGCGAGAGATCTTGTTATTAACCTGAAGCACAAGCACCCACTAACTTCATTAAGCATGTGCTCGCTTGCTTCTTGCTTGCAGCATCATAACGGTTTGATTAAAGCAATTACAGGCAGGATCCTGAGAATGGGATCAGGCAAAAACCCTGGCAGAGTCTTCAAGAGTGGCTTTGAACAGGCACTTGACACAGGATTTGAGTTAGAAGATGGTATTGATGGCTTTCTTCAGAGCAGGAGTTGAGTGGCATTGTGTGCCAAGGAGCACTTTTTTAGAGGACTGGGACTTTGTGCAGTTTTAGGTTTCTCGCTAACTATTTTGGTCATTTTCAGGTATTTGCTATTTTAATAGATACCTGTATTATCGGATGAAGCCATGATTTATGGGCAAGCATGCCATTAAAAAAAGAATTTCAGGTCAGAAATCAGCTCTTTTTAAAAAAAATTAAACGGTATCACGGACTCACAGGACTCGTGCTCTCTCTCGGCTCTGTACAGTCCCTGGGAGGAACCCCCTACAGTGTGACAGCCCTTCTTGGGGGTCCACTCTCTCTCGGGAGTTAAGCCGTAGGCCCCTCCACCTCCTGGAAGCACACCTCTCTGAGCCTTCAGCATGCCTGTCTCTCACCGTGGGCCCCCTCAAGGAGTCCACTCACTCTGGACACCTGGGGCCTCCCCACCCAGAAGGAATAATGGATGCATAAGGATGCATCCCTGATCTCCAGCCTGCAGTGACTCTCAGCCAGCATAAAACAGGAGGGTTTACTGAGTGTCTGAACACAGCATAGGAAACTCTCAGGGCCTCCCTCAGCACAGTTCATCTCGGTCTCTCCTGCATCCTGGTGGCTCTGGCTGCTCTCTCCCCAGTCCAGAAGCCCCCTCCTTCCAGCCGACCATCCTATATCATCTCCCCCAACAGCTCCTCCCCTATCCTTTGTCTTCGGTCCCAGACAAACAGGTTGCCTGGGCCTCCTCTCTTCTGACCTTTGTTCCCCACTGGCTGGAACCAGTGGAGTCAGGCACTGGGGTCCTCTCTCCTTAGCCCTTTGTCCTCCCACTGGCCAGAACTGGCTGACTGCCAAGCTGGGGTGGTCCTCCTGGTCACCAGTCGCTAGGATCTCCCATCTCCAGGCAGTTGTATGGGGTCTCAACTGCTAGGCAAGGTCACACCTGGTCCTCTGTAACAACAACCCCCCCCTCTCCCACCACCTTGTTAAGCACACAGGGAAACTGAGACCCACACAGTATTCATGCAAAACTCTTAAGAAAATCCCCCACTTCGTCACACAGATGTGGTGTGTGTGTTTGTGTGTCCCTGATGCTCCATGCTGGAGGGACTGAGACCTGCTCTCTCTCTCTCTCTCTGTGTGCACGCGTGCGCCAACTGCAGTGTTATTATTATTTATTAATTGTATTGTGGTGTCACCCCATCGGGCCAGGTTGCACACGCACATGATGGAAAGACAGCCCCTGCCCCGAAGGGGTCTCCACCCAAGTCTATGATGCAACAGCCAACCTGGGGGGCTGGGACGGGCAGTGCAAGATGATAGTGAAAAGATGGTGATCAGTCTGATACAGGCAGCTGTCACAACACAGAAGGCACTTGGCTGTTCCCATGGCTCTGCAGGGAGTTGAGGGGGAGGATGGCAGGGTGGAGGGGTAGGAGCGTGAGCTGTGGTGCTGGGGGTTCTGTCTGTGGTCTGCGGACAGAGAGAAGCTACTGTTAAGGCCGCATCCTGCAATTATTTTAATCCTCCTCCTTGGTGGGGGTTTAAGGCCATGTGTTTGTACAGCGCCTGGCACAGGCAAGTCATGGGTTATGAAAGGAAACCCAGGATGCTGCCACAATATATGAAGACTACATTAATTATTATAATGATGAGTGGGAGTCTCGTTCCCAGAGGGGGCCCGGTCACGGAGTGTGGGGGAGTCAGGGCCCTGCACCCACCACTTCCTGGCTTACTTCTCAGCCAGCTAATAAAACAGGTTTATTAGATGATAGGAACACAGTCAAAACAGAGCTTGTAGGTACAGAAAACAGGCCCCCTCAGTCAGGTCCATCTTCGGGGGTAGGGAGGCCAGACCCAAGTTCTGGGCCTCCCCCTGTCTCCCCAGCCAGCTCCAAACTGAAACTCCCTCCAGCAGTCTCACGCCCCGGCTCCTCCTCCAGCCTTTGTCCAGTTTCCTGGGCAGAAGGTATCACCTGGCCCCGACCCCCTCCTGAGCTCAGGTTATGAAGGGCCAGCCTTTACGGGCTGGCCCTCCAGTATCATCCCTCAGTGAAGTCACACCCTTATCTCCCATCACCATCTAGTATTAATGCAGACGGTAAACTAATAAAACTCCCGTGCAACATTATCAGGATAATACTCCCTATGCTGCCACAGGCCCCTCCTCAGGGAGGGGGACCACACATGGGTGGGATTCAACTCCCAGGCCACCCATAGGGAGACCTGGGGGAAGGATGGAATGAGATCTACAGCAGCAGCCAGTTGAGGCTCCTCCGTCCCCCTCCAATGAAGTCCCGCCCACCATGAGTTAAGCTCCACCCCATGGGCTAAGCCCCTCCCTCCAATGAGGCCCCACCTCTGAGTGGTCCTGCCCCAACTAAGCCCCTCCCTCTTTGGGAGGTAAGCCCCGCCCTCTAATGTGGCCCCTCCCTTTGTGTGTTTTAAGCCCCTCCCTCCATGAGGCTCCACCTCTGAGTGGCCCATGCCCTGCCCCAAATGAGCCCCTCCCCCTTTGGGAGGTAAGACCGCCCGCCGATGTGGCCCCGCCCACTGAGCCAGTTAAGCCCCTCCCACCAATATGTCCCCTCCCCTATTATGGCTAATCTTCCCCCCTGCGTGGATTAAATCCCGCCTCCTAGCTGAGACGCCCCGCGGTGAACATTGTCTCTAATGCGCATGCGTACAAGCCCGCACTTTCCTCCCCTTTTCCGCCTGGGTGGTGTCAGTGCGGACGCGCAAAACTTTTGGACGCCCAGCTTCCTTCGTGCGCATGTGCTATCAACGGGTTTTGTTTTTTTAATCAGCCCCCCCCCGTGCGCATGCGCTATCTGGTCGCCGGACGGTCACCTTCCCGGCGCGAGGAAGAACCGCTCTCCTGCCCCGGCGCATGCGTAGTGCGGAGAGACCGCTGCGAGGGAGGGGCGGCGCGTGCGCATGGCGCCTTTCCGGACGCTCGGGCTTTTCTGTGCGCCTGTGCGCCGCGCCCGTTGGTGGCGGCGGCGCGTGCGCAGTGGTCTCGCCGGCTGAGCAGAGCGAGGGAGCAGCCGGGGCCGCCCCGCGTGTCCGTCATGTACCAGCGGAGCCGAGCCGTGGCCGGGCGCCTGGGCCCCGCCGCCCGCTGCTGGGGGCCGGGCTGCCGCTGGGGCGGGGCCCGGTGGGGACAGGGCGAGTCCCCGCGCTGCGGCTACCGGGCGCGGCAGCAAGTGAGTGACGGACGGGGCGGGGCCAAAGGCAGAGGGGCGGGGCTAGGGGCGGCCTGAGGTCAGGGGGCGGGGCTGCGATGCTGGGGTGAGGAGGGGGCAGGGCTGGGGCGGCCTAGGCTGGGGCGACGGAGGGTACGTGGGCTGGGTGCTGGGTCTATATAGGACGCATTGGCTGGGCGCTGTGTCTGTGGAGGATGATTGGGCGGAGGGATGCATGGGCTGGGGGCTGGGTCTACGGAGGGTGCGTGGGCTGTGGGATACAGGATGCATAACTGGGAACTGGGAGTGCATAGGCTGGGGAGTGCAGGGGACAGCAGAGTGCAGAAGTTGGGGGCTTGGGGGGGGGGTGCCAAGGCTGGGGCCTGGGGGTTTGGAGGATGCTTGGTCTGTGGGGCTGTAGGGGACTGGGGGGTTGCGTGGGCTTGGAGAGGTGGAGGGTCTGGGGTTTGTGCGTGGGCTGAGGGATGCAGAGGTTGAGGACTGCAGGGGACTGCAGAGTGCAGAAGCTGGGACCTGGGTGGGGTGCAGAGGCTGAGGTTAGTCATTGCATGTGGTGAGGGATGCAGAATGCATGGTTGGGGCCTGGGGGTGCAGAGAACTGCAGACTTTGGGGGATGCAGGGCTGTGGTGGGTGCAGGGGCTGGGACTGTAGGGTGATGAGGAGGGGCATAAGACCTGGGGGTTGGGGTGGGGGCCAGAGGAGTGGAGGGGCAGTGGTGGTGACTTTGAGTGTTGAGGATACAAGGGTAAGGTCTGTGGTTTGGCTGGGAATGTGGGAAGCAGGGTTGTGAAATCCATTCCTCTCTAGATTAGAGCTAGAGCTCTAGAGAGAGCTAAAGGTATAAATGTTCGCAAAAAGAAAAGGAGTACTTGTGGCACCTTAGAGACTAACCAATTTATTTGAGCATGAGCTTTCGTGAGCTACAGCTCACTTCATCAGTGAGCTGTAGCTCACGAAAGCTCATGCTCAAATAAATTGGTTAGTCTCTAAGGTGCCACAAGTACTCCTTTTCTTTTTGCGAATACAGACTATCACGGCTGTTCCTCTGAAACCTGTCATTATGCAAGGTATAAATGTTTTCACTCTTTCCCCCCTGGTTATGTGTCAGCCCCACCCCAGGATTTTGGGGAGGGTTTGGGGGTGCACGTGAGATTGTTCAGTAGGGGATCACACTGGAAGAGAGGGAGATTGTCTATCTTGGGGGTAGGGAAAGGGGATGTGGAGCCTTGGAAGCGCTGGCTCCAATCTTCCCTCTTGGAAGCGCTGGCTCCAATCTGCCCCCAGGTCAGGGGCACTGGGAGATGGGGTCCTTACAAGGGAAAGGTCCCAACAGAATCTCTGAGTGGTGTCAGTCCCTCTAATCCCTTCTCCCTTCCAGGACCTGGTCTCCTGCTGTGAGAAGGCCCCCCAGGCGCTGGGCCCACCCATGGCCCTGAAGTTCCACTTGACACTGGTGGAGCAGCAGGTGGAAGCTGCCAGGACTTTGCTGTTGCCCCCGCCAGGGGCCGACCTGGTGGGTGGTACTTTCCCGAGTGCATCGGAGCAGAAGCTGAGCCTGCACGAGCTGCTGCAGGGTCTGGAGCAGGGGCTCCCCTGCCAGCCTGCTGCCCTCTCCCCTCTGGAGGGCATGGAGGCCTCTGTCACCACAGTGGATGGGCAGCGGGAGGACGATATCACTGTGCAGGAGGGCACTGGCTTGGACAGCTCCTCCCTGGACTCTCTGTACAGCCTGTTTTACGGCAAGCCCTGCTGGATGCCCTGCCAGGCCCTCGCCCCCTTCCAGGCCACTGCTGGCACAGCCAACAGTGCCACCTCTGGCTCACCCGGGAACCATGACCCCAGCATGGAGGAGCACCTGGCTGTCATGTATGAGAAGCTGCAGCATGAGGTACGCCACGGCCCGGATGCCTGTCCCCTGCCTTTCCGGTGGGTGGGCTGCCTGGATCCTCCACCCCTCATTCCCTGTTCTCCCCTGCCTGCGTGCCTGGCTTCTCCGTCCCTCGTTTCCCCTGCCTGCTGCCCGGAT